CAGGCCGTCGCCCGTTGTTTCCCGCATCGCGCCCGGCGCCTGCCAGCGTCAGCCGCTCGGCGCGGGCCGAGGCGCGCGGGGCGGGGCGCACGCGCTGCGTCGTTGCGACGCACACTAAATGCCTCAGGCGGCCGCCGCGACGCTTTTGCGTCGCGGTCGCCGCTCGAGCGCCGGAAGAACCGCGGCAGCAGAGAGGGGAGGGAATGGGAGAGGGAATGGGAGAGGGAGAGGGAGAGGGAAAGAAGGGAGCGGGGGAGAGCGGGCGAGTGCGGGCGAGTGCGGGCGAGTGCGGGCGAGTGCGGGCGAGTGCGGGCGAGTGCGGGCGAGTGCGGGCGAGTGCGGGCCAGAAACACGCGCCACCGCGTACGGAGCGACAGACAACAGGCGCGCGGCGGCAAGGCGGCCGGACGAAAGAATCGGACGGAAGGGCGATGTCAGCGGCGCAACCGCGGCGCATCGCCGTCGCATCGCCGTCGCATCGCCGTCGCATCGCCGTCGCATTCTCTCGTCCCGCTCCCAGAACTCGGCGGCGCCGTGTTTCGGTGGCAGATCACCCCGCACGAACGACATCCAGCACCTCATCTTTTCCACGCTCTTCTCGATGCCCCAGCTCGTCGCTCTGCTCGCCGCACAGCTCGCCCCGCCCACCCCACACACATGTACGCTCGCCGTGTCGCGGTGCGAACGCCGCTCAGATGCCTCACCACGCTCCCCCCCGCGGGTCGCAGCCTGGTCTTCAGCCGTGCCGGCGCGGTCGAGCCCGGCGTCGAGATCAAGGACCTCGCGCAGATTCGCGCCGGGCTCGACGCCCGCTACGACCATCGCTACCGCCAGCCGTCGCGCCAGTGGATCCAGCAAAACATCCCGTCCGCCGCCGCGCCCCTGTACCGCCTGCTCGACGACGCCCCCGCCGCGTTGTCGCGTCGTGAAAAGGACCACATCGTGTCGTCGCTCAGCGCGGCCGTCTACGACAAGGCCAGCCACACCTTCTACATGCGCACTCCCGCGCTGCAGGCCGCGCCGCTGGCCGCGGGCGACCTGGTGCTTCTGCGCTCCAGCCCCAGCCAGCTCTCCATGTGCGTCGAGGTCCCCACGGACGCGTCCGACCCGCGCTTCACCTTCGCCACCATCGACGGCAGCCTGCAGTTCGCCTCCCGCAGCATGGTGCTGCTGCGCATCCCGTCGTTCTACACCCGCCCCGCGCCCCATCTCATCCAGCCAGAAACCGCGTCCCCCGGCGCCGCTCGCATCGGCACCGTCAAAAACTCGCCCGACCGCACTTTCGTGTTGCCCATCCTAGCGCGCCGCCTCCGCACCTCTTACATCCCGTTCGAAGTCACCAAGGCCGCGTGGGACCAAATGCCCGCCGTCACCCGCAAACTCGAGCTGCTGCACAGGTTCTTGCAGCGCTCCTCGGGCCCTTGGCAAGTGTCCATTTTCACTCTGTGCGCGCTGGTGTCGCATTTCGACCTCGCAAAGGCCAGAACCCTGCCGACCGAACACTACCTCGACGCGCTCTTCTCCAAAGTGGGCTTCAAAGATAGCATCCACTCGCTCGGCGGGCGCCACCTCCACCCGCAGCCACCCACCCGCGTCGACGCGGCGTGCTTCGTGGCCACCTTCTGGGCCCTGCTCCAGCAACAGGAGTACAACCTGTGGGGCAAAATACATACCCACTCCGCTTTACTGACCCCGATCTCCGTCACAGTGCTTCCCCTCCAGTCACAGCACCTTTACTACGAAAAAACACTTCAGGCTTTGAAAAAGGACAACTATCGCTCGCTGGATGAGTTTGCCCACTTGGTCAACACCCACGATTATCAGCCAATCCCGACTCGTTTCCCGGAAATCGTCCAATTGCTGCAAGACTACGCAGCTGGCAACTTCCACAACAACGGCGCCATTGTCACGGTCACCTCTAAAATCTTTCGCAGACTCGCAGGCTACCAAGACGAGGACGTGACCTCTGACCTGTGCCATGATCTTTTGAAAAAACTTATTCCACAGACCATCCCCAACCCGCTTTTGCTAAACAAGGATCTTGCCCTTGCCACCTCCTCCGAGCGCACATGCTTGGAGCAAAAAGTGTTCGACCTATCCACGCCCAACCACATCGACGACGCCCAGCTGAGGAAAGATTTCGGAAATCTCAATGTATATTGTATTGACTCCGACACGGCCCACGAAATAGATGACGGCATTTCTATCGAACATCGAGGTGGCAATCTCTACACATTGCATGTGCACATTGCAGACCCAGCCTCGCTATTCCAAAAGATCACAGACGATGCTGCCCGGGACGACGTGCTAGATATAGCCCTGGAAAGAGCATTCACCACGTATCTTCCGGACATCGTGCAACCAATGCTCCCAACCACCTTCTGTCGTGCCGCTGACATGGGCAATGACGGCGTGAAAACAAAGACAATGTCCTTCTCGGTCAACGTTGAGTACAAGAAATCAGGCGTCAGGGTTTTAGACCACACTTTCGATGTAAAATTGGGACTTGTGTCAAGATTCCCAAAGGTGACCTATTCTAAAGTCGATCAGATTTTAAGCGATCCTTCAAACTCTACACGGGAGAAAAAAGAGTTGCAACAACTTTATAAAATCGCCAAAGGGTTAAGGCAAAAGAGAGTACGCGAGCAAAACGCCATAATTTTCGGTGAAGGGTTCAACAAAGGTCTGGTCAAATTAAATTCCGACAACGATGGCGAACTGACGTGTGTTAGCTTTGAAGATCAAACCGAAACGAGCTCTACCATCCTAGTCTCAGAAATGATGATCTTAGCTAATACCCTCACCGGAAGGTTCTTCAAGACAAACGGCATCCCAGGGATATATCGTAGTTATAAAGAACTTACGTTGAAAGATACCGCATTACAAGCTTACTCTTCAATTCGAGAAAAGACAAAACTGGGTGAATTCCCAACCATCAGGGACATAAATAAAACCTCCTCTTTACTCAATTCCAGTTTTTATACTGGAATTCCCACCCGGCACGAAATGATCGGTGCCCCCGAGTACTTAACCGTCACGTCTCCTTTACGCCGTTTCGCAGATATGGTCAACCATTTTCAGCTCCATCGATATCTCAGAAATTTGCCCGCGTGCTTTACGCAAGAAGAAGTCGATGGCCTTGCATGGCATATCCAATCAAGGGATGTGATACTTAGAACCGCATCGAGAGCCTCCGCCACGTATTGGACTTTGAAATACCTAAAAGAAGAGCAGAAAAAAGACCCTTTACAAACTTACAATGTGATGGTCACATCCGTCCCACAAATGGGAACTGTAAGATGTGTATTTCCCACCCTCAACGCTGCCAGAGGTATCTTAAAGCTCAACCCTAAAAAAGCCGCCTCTGTTGCCATCGGAGACGAAATTTCAGGATGCAAAATTACTAGGCTGCATTGTTTAGATGGAATAATGGAATTGGAAATGCCCTGATAATATGTAAGATGGAACTTGTAAATATTAAAAAGCTTCACTAGTACATTTTAAAAAGTTCACAAATAGATTTTAGAAATTTTCAATACTAAAAAACTTCACTACTAGATACTCAATAAACTCTCCATTGCGCAAAGCAACCCACTCGATCAAGTCAAGGGTTTTCAACAACCCAAAGGGTTCCTAGTTCCAATCTCATGGTCTTGTTTATAGAATTTTTGTCCTTTTCTAATTCCTTTACCGATTTAGCGGCTTTCCTTTTTCTTGAGGTAGGTAATGACAATTCCCAAAACGGAAACAAAAACACAATATTGAAAATTACACGATGGGCCTCGTAACTCCTCCACCGATATTGTACTTGAGAGTCCCTGATTTGGTACAGTCCATAAGTTTTCGACTTATCTTAATGCCATTTGCCAATCCAGTTGGTGGGCTAGATGACAGAGGTCATCGCAATCTTCAGAACAATCGTTGGTCTTACGCAGCGGGTCAAGCATTCGCTATGGTTGTACCACAAGACTATAATCAAAGATTTACTCAACTAAGAGCTGCACCTATACTCTTACCATCGTTACCAAATCACTATAACAATGTATCTAATACACACAGAAGGGCTGTTAGAAATAGAGGCTCTCCACAGAAATCACAGTTTCCCTCAAGCAAAAATGGCTCACCTACAAAGGCTCGGACACAAAACCATCATACATCCAGTAACAATCACGCTGGTGGTAATTTTATGGTTATTACTGGAATCAAGAGCTGTACTGATATCAAAAATCCGTCTCCAGCTACTACCGCATCTCGATACATGACAAAGCCCTCGAAACTTGACAGTAAGCGGGTAAAGATGAACCCTGTCATCAACGACCCAATTGAGAAAAAGAAACTCGTATGTTATAAACTGGGTGAGGCACTTTTGTTACAGAAAGAGACAGCACCCAATTCTTTAATCGGTTTTATTGATTCCAGGAATGATACATTCCACAAAATGCAGCCCATCAGAGTAGCAAACGAAAAAGATCATCAGGTGCAGGCTCTTGATGAACTAGTATCAATTGTTCGCAAATATACCACTAAACCGAACAGACGTTCGCTAGCATTTTCCAATACCAAGCTTCAAACGAAGCCGTCAAAATTGCAATCTCAGCTTTCCCTGGAGGCTAATGATAGTGTTGATTTAAGTTTTGATGGCAAAGCCATGAACAAGAGCGACATCTTCAAAATGGTCGATTCATTTTCTCTAATGGTCGACGATGACGAGGATGACCATCCATTATTCAACACTGCAAACATCCTGCCACCTGAAATAACAAGCTAATTTAAAGGACCTGATCTCCCAAGCGAGAACGTTTATACATGCACGTATAGCACCTTATGACATTTAATGCATTTGTATTTCATTAACTATTTACAGAACTCATCAAAATCCTTCTAAATTAAACTCTTTTTTCAACCACAAAGCCTGGGTTGGACTTCCTCAGTTGCCTCTGCTCTTCTTTAGAAAGCGCTTCTTTGGTTATGTCCACTTTCACAAGCTCTTTGACTTTGGCTATAGAGCCTGCAACCGCAGGGCTGGCTCTAAGGTACACCACTGAGCCTCTTTTACCCAAACCTAAACTACTTATAATGTTCTTCGTAGTAACAGGAAGTCCAATAGTTGACCTTGCTAATGTAACCTTGTAAAACGCCATCACCTCCACTTAATCCTTCAGATCTTTTACCTGTGGTATAATAAAAGTATAAAATTTTTGCCGACTTTCAGCTAACTTATTCGTACAAACGCATGTGAATTAAGCGATGATGCCTTCCTGGTTCGCCTGCACTAATGTCCGTTAACTTCAAAACCATATATCCAAGTCCAGTTTCACTGACAAATAAATTCGAGTATTTTACGTCAAGATTCGGTAATAAAAGTGCTATACTATTATTCAAAACTTTGCAATGGAGGAGGAAAAGCTTGCTGAGCGTATAAATGAGCAAATTGCTAGAGACATAGAGCATGGACCAAAATCTGGTAAGACAAAGGGCAAGAACGAAACTAAGAGTTCCAAAAAGATTCCAAAAGTCAGCCCTGAACATATTGCCGAAGTTAGAGCTAAACGTGAGGCTGCAAAAAAAGCAAAACGGGATGCCATGATCGCCCGTGGACTTGATCCGGACTGCCCACCGGATTTACAATTCATCAGAAGACCCATGCTACATCTGAACCAAAATGAAACTGGTGGCGGCTTTACTTTCACCATTATGACATACAATTGTTTGGCTCAGGCTTTGATAAGGAGAAAATTATTTCCAACGAGTGGAAATGCACTAAAATGGTTTAAAAGATCACAGGTACTACTCAACGAGTTCAAACACTATAATGCGGACCTTCATTGCTTACAAGAAATCGATTATATTCAGTATCAGTCTTTTTGGAAAGGTGAATTTAATAAACTAGGCTATGATTCCCAGTACCATCGTAGTGGAACCAAGAACCACGGAATAGCGATCGTATGGAAACACGATCTATTTACGATGGTTGACAAAATGCTAATTGACTACGATAAAGAGGCGTCCGGTAACATTGAACCAAGAACAACGACTACAAATGTCGGCTTAGTTCTCGCCTTGAAGTTTTCAAATAAAGTACTTGAAAAATTTCCTCATTCAAATAAAAGTGGGATTATAATAGGTACATCACATTTGTTTTGGCATCCTTTTGGAACTTTCGAAAGAACTAGACAATGCTATGTCCTACTTAATAAAATGAAAGAGTTTTCTCATCGCGTCAAGCTCTTACAAGGCGCGGATACCCACTGGTATCCTTTCTTCTGTGGGGACTTCAATTCTCAGCCTTTCGATGCACCATATTTATCAATGACGTCAAAACCAGTCACTTATCAAGGCAGGGCCAAAAGAGTCATCGAATGTAGCGCCTCATTTACATTTTCCAAAGCCCGCGACGGAGAAGAGTGCGACGATGAAGAGGGCGGCAATATTGAAAAGTTTGGAGCGGATCAACCCGATCATCCCGTTCCTGACGAGTTCCAAGCAACTGATGAGCAAGCTGCTTTGGTGAAAAACATTGAAAAACTTCACAACGGATTGGATATGCGTGCGATATCTATTTATTCGATTGGGTACAAGCACGTTCATCCTGAAAATGCTGGATTAGACAATGATGGTAAAGAACCAGAAATTTCCAATTGGGCTCATACGTGGAGAGGCCTGCTGGACTACATATTTTTCATCAAATCATGGGATTATTCTGATCGCAGAACGCCAGACAAGATTGAAACGTTTGAACAGGAAAATGGCGTAAAAATCAAAAGTCTGCTCAGAATGCCACCTGCCGCTGAAATGCCAGACCATGGCCAACCTCACGAGGGAGAATATGCAAGCGACCACCTTTCAATGATTTGTGAGTTGGAACTTGACATGTAACGCTTCTTCTTCACCAATGAATTTACTTCTTAAACTTCTTGGAGGGAATTTCCAGCTTAGCTCCTTGGTTGTATTCCTTATTATAGATACTATTCCATGCTTTGATGTAGTTACTCAGTCTTTTCTTCATATCGTCATCCGCAGTTGCCGATTCCTTGATTTTTTCACGAATTTGGTAGAGCTTGCATAATGTGTCATCTTCTTCCAGTAAGGTATTCAAATGATCGGTTTCTTTTTTTGCCTCGATTTGCAGTAAATAATCATGTAGAATACGAAAATGTTTCTGAAGGTTAGGATTTTTGAACTCAGACGGCCTGTACACATTACGGAGGGTAAAATAAGTGATTATGGTGTCCGTGACTTTGAGCATTTGATCATATTCTTCAGAATTTGTAAAATCCTCATAGTGGGTTACACTTGGAAATTTGCGAATTTCATCCATAAAGGGCATCTTTATCAAATAGAAACCTTCATTCTTTTCGTTCTTGGATGTTGGAGTTAAAACAAACACTGACGGATTGGAATTGTTCTTTGTTTTCCCCCAAAGCAACGCAGACTTCCGCTTTTTAGTCAGAATTCTGAAAAGAGATGCCATGGCCCTTATTGAGCCCTCAATCTTCGTTTCATCGGGAACCACAAAAGATGCAGAGCTGATATTGTTATAATAAAATAGACATTGGTGTGTTGAACGAAATCCAATCAGCTTCAGAAATGATTCAAATGGTGAGTAGTCCTCGTCAATTTTTGCCAAGTCCTCCTCAGATAATTCTATATCTTGATCTCCATATTTGAAAACTTTACAAGTTTTGTCTGTCAAATCTTCACCCGTTTTGCTATCCAGGTATTTACGATGTGAATATGCCTCCTTCCTCAAACCTTCGTGATCATAGACCAGCTTATAGCGTGTGCCCGGTTTTTCATGAGATATCACTGTATAACCCTTCACTGCAATGATGAGGTCTGTACGCTCGTCCAATATTAGAGGACATTGAAATTGGATCCTCTTGATTTCCTTCTTTCTCAAAGCTCTCGACTTAATATATGCAGCGGTAATGGGCGAAGTGTTAGGACCTTGGAAGGAAAGAAGACCCACTGAAGATTTATCCTGAGCACCTAGCCTAAGTACGTCGCTGTAGAAAGATTGATCAAATGGATGTTCCTCTGTGCCAATGAAAAACGTTACAAAGTTGATAAAATAATCATTCAAATCCTCAACCACTTTACGTAGCCTTGATCTTGCCTCTGAGTCACTAGCTTCTTTCGGCTTATCGACATTAGTAAATAGGAATATTTTCTTATTATTGTAAGCCTTTTGTCCCGCAACTTCCCTCAGAAATTGTTCTTGTGCTAATGTGAATACGTTTTCCAATGAGCTAGGACACCCTTCGTCAAAAGGGAATGCGTCCTCAATTTCGACTCTGTCGTTGTGCAAATCGTCCAGCGTATCACTTAGTTTTTTCATATTACTTGCACTGATATCCTCAAGCGGCAAGAACTCATAAATACCGTTGGCAGAGTTCTTATCCTTACAATTGTAAAAGAAGCAACCAATACCAGTACTTGGAAGTGTAATTATTACCTGAGACATGAGCTCCAATAACGTCTCTAATATTTCAATCAACTGTACCTTATTGTTGAGCTCCTTTGACCTCTGATACATGGAGGGTGAAAGCTCGATACAAAATATGATACCTTCATGAACTTCAAACTTTCTGTATTGTTGAAGTTCATCCTTACCTCGATCTACAATTTCAGTTGCTGAGGACATCCTTTTTTGTGGCTCCCTTTTACCTTTATTAACAAATTGATTTTAGAGATGTGTTTCGTAACAAAGCGTTTCCAGTATAACGTGCTCAAAGACACTCTTTCAAAACGACAACTTTTTATTCACGAAGATTACAAGACTAAGTTCAAAAGTGCTAAAGGAATATATTTATTAAATCTATGTACGCGAAGAGGGTTCCATCTTCGGATCCTTGTTCAGGAGGCCTTTTGATGAGATAGTATTTGATCAATCACATCTTGGCTGACAACATCCTGAAACTCCTCATCGTCGATATTCGATTTAGGGCCATGGAACGTCTTGTACTTATAAACCAAGTAGTAGATAAGACTTCCAAACCAAACAAATCCCACAAACACACAGGTGTAATTCATCGTGTTTGGAGTAACACCGTATTGGTCAGATGGGAACATCATCATTATAATAATAAAAAACTCGAATGCAATTGAAATCCAGTTGATTATTGGAGACCAAAATTTCCCCAAGTAAAATGCACCCGGCGTGAATAGATCGCGACCGGTAGTCATTCTCAGTAGATTTGGAACCATCCAGGCAAAATAGTTCGCTGCAATATACATGGAAAACAAAGCATTAGAAGCCGTCCCTCCGATCAGACACAATAGACCAATAAAAAGTGCGTATGCACCACCAAACCATGTAGCTCTCAATGGCGACGATAGCTTTTTGTTCACTACTTTTATCCACCAAGAGAAAGGTAAACCGTCATCACGAGAGAATGCCCAAATCTGTCTTGAAATAGCAGTAAGAGTAGATGCACCCATAATAAACTGACAGAATGCAATTAAAGACATGAACGCCATTGCCCACTTTTTTCCTAGCGCGTCATATAAAATTTGGGCCAGAGGTTGACCGTAAGCAGTGTTCAACACTGCTTGGATGTTACTGTCCATACAGGCGGCGATCGTTATGCAAATACAAAATCCGACAATCCAGCATACCGTAATAGAACTCAAAATACCGATAGGTACCGCTTTAGTAGCGTTTTTGGCCTCTTCTGACATATGTATACAGGAATCAAAGGCGCCAATGACCCACACTGCCGGTTGAAACCCTGCCATCATGAATTGCCATCCGTTTGGCCAATTGCTCTCATTTTCCCAATTGCCAAAGATAAACTTCCCACTATTGAAGTTTACCTTGTCTGATTTCGAGACACCAATTGGCAAAACAATCAGGAAAAATACAATTAATGATAGGTTGGATATTATACTGAATGTCTGTAGTTTAGAAACAGCCACAGTTGCAAAAGAAGTAAGTATCATTGTTGCAACAATACCAGCAGCATAAACTCCGTAAGTTTTACCGTTAGTGATGTTGAAATCACCATCCCTAGAAATCACTACGATAGAAAGTATTTCTTCTGCCAAACCATAATCAATGGAACACAAAGCAGCAGTCAATGCCAATGTATTCGAATTACCAATCACAAAACTGAGAACAGACTTAAACTTAGGTGGAGCATAGTAATAGGTATAGTAGTAAAGACCACCGGATGTTGGAATCGCTGATGCCATCTCCGACATGGCTGCACCAATTGAGAGGATAAAAGCACCCGAGATAAGCCAACCCCAGATGAAGGAAACCATCCCACCGGGAAAGGCCATAACAAGGATTGAAGCGATACTGGGCAGTAGCCCCATAATTGAAAATGCAATACCAAAAACTTGTACTGTGCTGAAATGTCTGTCCAACTCCTGCTTGTATCCAATTTCGGCTAATAATTCTGTGTCACCATGTGCGGTTTTAGCATTGATGTAATTGACCTCGCCCGCTCTCTTAGAGGTTATTGTTCTTAGTGACCTGATTTCTTTGACTTCACCTTCTTGACTAGATGAGATAGCATTGAGCTCTCTGGTCGCATGTGTTATCTGCTTCTTTTCTGTAATTGAGGACTCGCCAGACATCCTATCAAAGTAGATTATTGCGGTGATCTCTTCAATGAGGCATATGGCGCAAATTGGGCCGCCATATATATCATTCTTCTGCCTCAACGACTATCAGTCAAATGTCGCATTATCAATCAATTCAGCACTATCAATGTTTTTCTAGCCACAAGGCTTGCCTACGATCATACCCGATTGCAATCTTGATACCATGAATGAAGAGAGCCCTATAACTACCATACTCAGATGATTGGGTACAGTAAAACAACTAGACAGATCCACCAAGACTTTCCCACTATTTTACTAAAAGAGGAATGTCTAACCTTTAAGGATAAAGCTTATCATCAACTACCGCCGTTATCGATCACAATAACCTTATCCAAAATTCCGTACACCTTCGCTAGAAGAATAGGAGTGTCCCTTGGTCACACTGTCAAAATTCCGAGACGTATGAGTCCGAGGTCGGAGTAGTCTAGATTGTTGATTTAGGCGTAATAGGAAGCAAAACACTTAGATCAACGTGCTATTCCTTCTATGAGAGGAGTTTAAATTTCTTGTTTTTCCGCGTTTTAATCTTGGATAACTTTTTAAGTGCTTCACGTATCTTGGCAGACGGAGTAGGCAGCGTAGACTACTGTCTCATGAGTAAGTTATCGAATTAATCTGCTTTAGGCACTGAGTATCAGACAGGATGATTTGACCTATCTCGACGTTTCGGAGACCTGTCCCGTCCTTAAACAGCTCCTTTCAAAAGACTTGAGAAAATTCCAGAAGAAACTGTTAGTAGAGGATAAGCCAAAGGATACAGATCTTATTCCATTCTTCTATGCTCAGTTCTAATGTTTATCACTAAGGCTTCGTGCACTGCTTGCAAGCACTTCAAATTAATTTGATTCGCCCTGATAGTTATATAAAGTTCACCAAATTGCTTGGTGAAACGCTTAAAGCAGTCTCTATTACTCGAAACAGATTGGTCATCGAAGTTGAGATGTGTCCGATAGTCTTTTACTTTCTGAAGACAGGAAATAAACCATTTATTTCGAAAAGTACAAAATATTGGAATTTAGAGACAAGAATCGCTAAGCTACCATACAGATTTGCATTGAGTGGATTATTCTGATCATTTGCTGTTGCTATTGACGGATCACTAATAACACTTTCTCAATGTTGTCGCGTCTCACTCTAATAATATTCCTAAAAGTAACGACGGAACCTGTAATATAAGACCCCTTCGAAATGTTGCGAAAGATTCCCAAGCCGTAACTGCACGGTCAGATGTCTCCAAAGTGTCTGACCAAGTTTTAAATGCTAAATTTTTCAAACTCCATAGTACCGATCCATAACTAAATAAAGCCGAGTAATTGTTGACGGAAACTTGTAGATGAAATTTAAGCTAGATTTTTCTTTTTCCGCTATGCCCATCGAGATCAATGGATCAAGCTAACGATACTTTCAATGCTGTTAACAAAGAGATAAAAAAAGATTACAGGTCTCTAAGAAATCGCATCTTGAGTATTCTGCTGGATCATGCGTTTCTCTCAGAAAAAGTCGTACCGACTTTTCCAAATTATCCTGTGATTCCAAACGAACGCTGCGGGCTTTGGTATTGTGATCCTACTTCTTTCCAACAGACAAGCTACTTTAAGTCAACTGATGGTCACACAAACCAGTGGGATTTCAGCACACGTCGTTTAAATTTCCATTTGCTTCCCACAATAGCACAACATGGTGGTGTAGTCATCGTAGATAGCACAAGAAGAGGAAAGAAGATACCTGATGCCTTAAGTAAAACCGTGCCAATATGGTGTGCTGTTTTAAACTCATTGATGCTTGAATATCGAGGCTTAGAGGATAAAGTACTCTTTTGCCCTCCAAATACAGTCCCACCTTCCGAGATCGACAGGATTAAAAAAAAAATTCCTTCTTTAATGCTGAAGCTTCAGCAACTTAATGTCATCACGGGAAAGGAGATCTATGATATGCTAGGAGGGAAGCTTTTGAGGCCAATATGGGTTTATCCGGGGTGCTCGATTTTGGAATCAAATACTGACGTATTTACTGGCGAGCCTATGCCCTGTAATGCGTGGGAAAACTCCGAAAAAGACAGTATTCTTCCCATAATTTTATGCACCGCAAGCTATCAATGCCAAGATGGGGTAGACAAAAGACTTGGCTTCACTTATGTACAAGGGGCAGCTGATGACCACGAATCGTGGGCCAAAGGTTTAACACCAGCTGTATTTTGGGAAAACGTCTCTGCTTTCAAAGATAGTGTGGTATCTGAGCAAATGCTAGAGCGGTTAATTGAAGAAAAGACTATTCTTGAGTCAAATTGTAATGTTGGATTGAGCACAGGAGCAGCAAACTTTGCCCAAGCTGATCAGATAACGGGGGAGCTATACCTTGGATGCCTAATACAAAAATGCGAGCTAAGTGAAGCGATGATCAGAAATCTCCTCTCGAAATACGGAATAATAATTTGTTTTACGAAGACATCTTTGATTGCTAACAAGGAAGATCAACCTCGCATAATATGCTATCCACTTGAGAGTGACTCAAAGAAAAGCTCAAGAGAACTCAGAGTGAAACTGCCTGGAATATGCAATCTGATAAAGTCAAGTATTCAAAAATCTTCACCAATATTAGTGTGCTGTGACACCGGCAGGGATATTTCAGTTGGCGTCATCCTTGCTGCACTATGTGAGAACTACGACGAAAACTGGTCAATGACATCGCCACAAAGTGTTAGTAAAATCACAATTAGAAAACATCTTTCCAAGGTGATCACCAAATTAAATGGCCGGAACGTCAATCCGTCAAGAGCTACTCTAAATAGCATCAATGCTTACTTGATGTAGCACAGGAAATTAAAATTTGAAAGCATAATCCTTCCCGAGAGCTCAAGATAATTATTTAGCGTCCATTTGATGTGAGCACTTCAACTCGATTATGATCCATCGATTGTAGCAACTACATAAACCACTAATCATAATTCTATCGTTATACACGTAGACACATATTCTCAAATTTTTCATCGAATTTGTTAACGTTACGAAAGCTATGTAGCGTCATTATTGGCTGGATAGACGCTGATGCTTGCCAAAAAGAGAGGTGCATATGGGCTGGTGCTCAAAGGATTCCAGAGTACACTGTCCATAGGAAGAACTTCGGCTAGTATTTCATACCCGGTTTCAAATGAGGTAAGTAGGGATGTGAATCTAACCGCGGACCCACCTCTCTCGTCTCGAAATGATTTGAGTGGTAGGCTCTCCGACAGATATGAGAGTTATCTTCCAAAACTATACCAGAAGTCAGAAAGAAAATATATTTCCGAGCTATCTAATGCCACCGCAATTCAGAAACGTCTCGCAACCAAAGAGCACCTGAAGTTTTTAATCGAATTCGTTCTGCGATGTAAAACCGATTCCGCCTACATTGTGGAGACTTTTCCCAAGGAGTTTTCCGTAGGAGACTATTCTGCATTTATCAACGGTCTGATTTCCGATAAGGACGCTCTAAATCAGCTAGATAATTTGTTTCCGGGCATATGTGGACCGGATATCATGTTTCACCTTTTCGAAGTATATCGGACATTTCTTGTAAATGTACATTTGAATCCTCTACACTTGCATGATCTGAACAGGTTTATCGAGTACTTCATCAATTCAGCCCAGCTGTCAAAAGCGCAAGAAATTCTCCAGCTAATACTCGATAGAAATGAAGGCGAACTGCCATGCGATATTGCGACCGCAATTCACTTTCTCGAATTACGATGTGGTGCATTAATTGGTAATTGGAGATTCACACCTGCCAATTCAAAGTTGAGCAAAAAATTGGGCTCTCGTAGTCAGCACTTCAAAGCGGCCAATAGCTACAAGGCATTTGATCAAAAAGTTATTGCTAAATTGGTCAAGAGTCTCAATAATTCGAACAGCTTATGGGCTCAAAAGAGAAATTGCGAACTTGATTCAAGTCTACTTTATGCATTGACTTACATGGGCCAACTCAATTTACTTAAAGAACATATCGAAGGGACATGGATGCTTTCATCGACTACATCAGCAAATGAGATCCCAGCTAACTTATACCCCACTTCAGATTTGATGATTGCGATCCTCTCCTGCTATGCAAGCAAGAGGCAATTTTCTACAGCTTTAGAGCTTTTGGACAAGTTCATAGTTACATTTCCTGCTTTGGAATTAAATACTCTCTTTTGGAGAAGACTATTTCAATGGAGCACAATGTTGTGGAATAAGAAAAGTGACCCTAATGCAACTGTCTCGAGGGACTGCTGGAAAGTATTCATTGATTGGCATATACAAAAAGGTAAGAAAATACCTTACGACAGTGGTTTACTGGGTGAGCGATATTACGTGTTGAGAAATACAAATGACTATATGGGTGCAATGGATGCTTTCAAGCGGTGCCTGGGGCAGTTGTACGTTAAACAGAATACAATGCCAGGAGAGCTTAGAATCATTGAAAAGTTCCAGAAACTGATACTCAAGAAAATGGCCTCATTGGGTTATTATAACAAACCGCTTCAGTTCATCCAAGAATGGACTCTTGATGAAAAGAATACACTATACATGAAAGAATACTTTTACTTGCACAGACGAAGATACAAGGAGCGAGTTGAAAAGCACAAGAAGAGGCTCGACCGGCAACTTCAACAAAAGCAGCGTGCTTATGATGAAGACGATGAAGACGATATGATAATTGGAAGGCTTTGGTAAAATACGTGTTACATAGTACAAATGTAGATATTTTAATGATCTCAAATTGATATTCGATATTTTCAAGGTTTCAGAAGAGAACTGAAAAGGTTGATTGACTAGTTGTTCAAGGACTATTAAAATCTCTGTAACTCATTACTGAAAACAAAAGTGCTGGCAATCCACCAGCCATATCTAAACCACACCATTTGAGATACATGTGCGTTAGTCATGGCAGCAAAGGCGTGGATATACTGAGCGAAAGAACTTATCAGTAGGGTACGTCCTGTGTTACGTGCTGTCTCATATAGTCCAGGTAAGAAGCCCAAATATTTCAGCAACACAAATTTGGAGCTCACTAATGCATAGGTATCAACGGATGGATGTATCTGCTTCAACAACTCAACAGCGTGAAAGCATGATATGTGGTTTACATGGCCCGACACACCGTCTTCATCAAATGTAAGCAAGAGTGGCTTAGAGTCCTTAATGTGCTCATCTAAAACTGCAGTAGCCTTCGCTATATCCCACTCGACAGCCATGCCGTCTTCGAAATCGGAAACGAATACGCTGGTCTTACGACTTGGCAAGAGCATACGCATTGAATGTCGAAGCTCCGCTACTCTAGTCGCACCCAGCCCATCCGCTCCACCGTTAGTTAAACATATTACTCGAACCTCTACATCCCTTGCGAAGTAAGTGTCCATTTGCAATACAGTGGGAGCAAAGAACATAACCTCATCGTCGGGATGAGCTATCACCAAATTGATCGACGTTGGGCTCGTTCGATCAAAGAGCTTCGTGAGAACCGCACCGTTGTGCTTCTTAATCAGTTGAGAGCAGTATATATATACTACCCAACAAAGGAGATATAGCTTGAAGATCTTCGCCCCAATTTTCATACTTGCTATCAGACTAAGCCTTCCAGTTTACAAGCGTTCTTGGCTTTTTTGTATCTCGGTCTCCGAACGTGATTTCGTCGGAAGCACCTTTACCTTGTTTCTGCGCATGTTTGAGATCTTACGGCGTCTTCGGGTCTCTCCGCGCAGCGTCGGTGAGACTTCAGGTGGTAACCATTGGTCACAGGGCTATTACATAGACTTTAATTAACACGACTACACTAAAATGTCGACTGCCAAAAACCTACCAAGCACTTGAATCCACAAATCCTAATTTTTTAGATGAGATGGCTTGAAAATCTCTTATTTTTCACTCCCCTCTCCTTTATTACTTATCCTTTCTCTTGCTCTAAACACTCCTTTGTTGGCTCTAGAAATGAATTAATAAAAGGGAAAAAATTTTATATGGGGAAGCGTGACAGAACTCACGCTAACTAAAGGTTTAGGATTCGGAGATAGAAGCCATGTGTAAGAAGGAGAAGGAAGCTTTCGGACCGAGAATTATTCGGACGTTGGGTTCACAGTCGTTGAGTGGTTTAAATCCTTTATCCAGCCAGCCATCCTCTATATCACAGTCTCCTGCCCAGGTAAACGCGAACTCTACCACTCTCTCAACAGCATCGCCACCCGGTTCTACAAGCTCAACTTCTAATTATCGAGTAGCCCAGGCCTGTGACAGATGCCGTTCTAAAAAGACAAGATGTGATGGCAAAAGACCGCAATGTTCGCAATGTGCGGCTGTGGGGTTCGAGTGCAAAGTTAGTGATAAGCTCTCACGTAGGGCTTTTCCTCGTGGATATACCGAGACTCTAGAGGAGAGAGTTAGAGAACTTGAAGCCGAGAACAGAAGGCTGGTAGCGTTGTGTGATTTGAAGGATGAGCAGTTGCATCTCGTATCAAAATACTCATCTAACAAGAAGCCCGACCCCGCCGCCAATGAAGATGAACAAATGTTACAGCAGTTGAGTTCATCAAATGGAGGATCCCTACGTGTGAGCTCTACGAATTTGTATCTGTTGAATAAAACATCTCCAACAGATGGCCTTGGTGTGACCCCCCACCAGTGTGACGGAATCGGCTGTAGCCACTCCTCGCATCCTCATTTACACGAAAAACCAGTTAGTACAAATCTGAATGATCCAACAGCTATATCGTTTGAGCAAAATGAAGCTCCCGGACTGCCTGCCGTAAAGGCCTTGAGTTCCATGGCAAACCACGAATATTCCAACCAACTTGCTACCCTAGTGGCTCTTTCAGTTCCTCGCTCTACAGAAGAAATTTTATTCGTTCCTCAACTCCTTGCTCGCGTTGGGCAGGTTCATGGTTTGACATCTAAACAATGCTTATACACTGCTTCCTTACTTGCCTCGTTAAAGGATTCTCCCCAGACAAATATCCCTTCTAGCGATGCACTAGAACAGATGAAAAAGAAGAACCTTTGGGAGATAGATGATCCTATGGGGTTCTTTCTTCATTCATGTAAATTCAACATTACATCAGAGTCAGGTAATGATACCCTATCTATCAATGAAATTGATGAATTATGCTCCTTATTTTTCGTCGAATGTCATTCAATGATTCCTATCCTAAATGAAGACGCATTCTATAAGTATTATAACAAGTTCAAAGAGAACTTGACATCTAAGCCGGACTTTTTTCATGAGGGAAGTTCGTCGTTTTCACAAAGGAACAAGGCTATTTCATACAAAATATTTGCCTGCATTTTGTTGGTTGTATGTCAAATGGGTCTAATGATCAAAATAAAGCAAGAGCAACTTCCAACAACTTCGAAGTTATCACAAATTATGAGTTATTATGTGGGGGCTATATCGTCCTTAAAATCCAATCCTTACTTCTCTGTGAAAACTACGTCAATTCAATCGTTGCAGTTAATGTCTTTGCAACTATTTTATTTCCTGAACATAGGCGATATCTCTTCTGTGTATGAACTACGTGGCAAAATTGTTACTATGGCTCAACAACTGAGATTACATCGTTGTCCAAGCGCGGTATTAGGAACTGATGGTTCAACTATGAGCAAGGTTGAACAGGGTGAAAGACGTGTATTATTTTGGGGAATTTATTATTTAGATGTCTTTGCGGCTCTTCAGCTTGGTGTACCGCGTTTACTGAAGGACCACGAAATCGAGTGTGCCCTCCCCGTATCCGAGGCCGAAGAAGGTCACGCAGATTTAGGCGGGCATGCTATTAAACTAGAGGGCCAAGTGTCGAAGTTTTCATTGTCAATTTTGAGATTTTCGAAAGTTGTTGGTAACATTTTAGACTCTATTTTCAAGCGAGGCATGACTGCGTCAATAACCAAGCAAGTTGCTCTAATACACGAAAATGCTCTAGATAATTGGAGGCGTGGGCTTCCCAAGGAATTGAAATTCCATCTTGATGTCAACGGAACCATTAATATGGACGAATTCAACAAGGTTAAGCATTGGAATCAAGATTCTACTACCTTCTATTCTCGCGAGAACACAATACTTTTGGCATTGTACTTTCTGGTTAAATGCATGGTTCATTTGCCAGTCTTGGCAGCTAGACCTCTGAATGAAAAAACACCAACTCCTGTGGTTGACGCTAATGGCCACGACGGAGCGGATAGGTCTTCCTCTTCTTACGTGCTATTACAGCAAGCTACAAACACGCTCCTAAATGTTTTGTCCTCGCTGAGATCCATATATTTGCCCTTAGCGATTAACACGCCAAGAATCAAATGTCGTTTCGCTCTACTGAGTGCAAGAGGTAGCTTGGAGTACACCAAAGGCGGTGCGTTATTTCAAGACAACAAGGCTCTTCTCCTTGATATAATCAAAGAGTTAGAGATTGACACACGACTAGATATTCCTGGAAGTCTATCGTGGCACAGTTTGAAACTATTAGACATGACATTGTCGTTGATACTGCAACCTCCACATACCAAAGCAGAGAAACTGGACAAGATGCTACAAAAGAAGTTGAACTATTATAACAAGCTAATGATGAACCCCTCTAATCTATCATCAAAAAGAAGAAGCGATGACATGACTTCAATGGATCCACCTAAATTGACCCCCATCAGTTCTAAGAGTAATAGCCCACCTGAAAAGAAGGTAAAACTAGAAAAAAATTCCAATACCAAACATGTATCAATTCAAGAACATCTCCCCACAGTCTCAGAGAAGGATCACACTGAAATTTCTGCAACACACCACAGCCAGCATCAGAGCAGTATTGCCGAAGCACTCCAACTGGACCCCGTGTTAAATAGTAATCCATTTAGTAACGGGGATCTTTCATCATTTTTCAATTCCGAAGGGGGCGTGGCAAATTTAAGCGGAGGCGCTTCGGCTATGAACTTGCTGAATCCCGATGGAAACACGTTGAGTACTCCGGTCAACGACGGACTTTTTAGAGTGCCCAGCAACGGCGATTTTCTCAAGGATTACTACCACATTCCAGGTGCATCGTCGTCTCAATTGAACCTGATGTTTATGGGTAAAGGTCAGAACACAAACAATGCCGCGGGCAGTAAGCCACAACAGGGTGGTGCGGCTATCCCCGGCTTTGGCTTTGCTGTGGACGCCTCTTTAGGTCTCGCACCACTATTAGCCTGGTCCCCGGACACTCAACAGAGGACCGGCTCTGAAAGAGTCCAGCTACAAGCAGACAATTCCACAGGATTGTCTGAACCTGCCTCGGGCCCCAATTCCTACGGTGGAAGATTAAGGTCCACTCCTGTGCTCCCCAGTTCTGCCACAGAAATGGTGCGCAGTGCTTCAATTCCCACGAGAAAACAGCAAACTGACCTCCACGAACCAGACCAGCATCTGGAATCTACCGATGACACAGTAATTACGATGCCTGCTCGCTCGCACCGCGGACCCAGACGGCGTTGGAATTCTACAGGTGGCTCTGCCGCTATTACACCTCAATCCGAGCGCTCGAAGCCACAAAACCCGTCAGAGACTGACGACAACCTACAGGACCTGTTTTGCTGGCAGAATTCAGGTTTCTAGACTATTTCAATATTCAATTACGCGTATATAGCCTTCCCAACACACATATAATAGACTAATATAATAGTTCACCCACTCGTGTATGAGGACATAGTCCACAAACAGCAAAAACCGCGAAAGTGCTTAATATTTCACACGGGGATTACAGTATGAAAAGTTTTCTCGCCCTTTAAACAGAACACGAAGATTCTACGCATAAACAATAAGCGCAGCGTCAGTAGGAGGATAGGAAAGGTGTTGAAACTAGTATATCTTTCTTCGAAGTAGTAAAAAAACGAAACACCAATTGTTTGATTCGACAGAGGAAATTTTTTCGAGAATTGAGGTGTTCAAGGTGACGAGATCAAATTAAAAGTTTCACCTCTAAAAATAGGAATATAAACTTGAACACAGTGAAGAAGAGGAACAACACAGTGGCCAGAGATGCCGAGTTACAATACGAGAAACAATAGCAGCGGAAACCACTATATGATGGGAATGCAACAAAAGGGTGTTTACGGGCAACCTATGATGTACAACGGACATAATGGTATGAGCAATAATGGCCAACAAGTGTATTACGCTGGATCGCCTATGAACCCTACTCCGCAGACGCCATTTGACACAGCCTATGGCGCGTCATTGCTACCATCACACCTTCTTATGGGCTCGCCATTTGTGTCGACGCCTGGCGTCAGAAACAGCGCGTCGCAACGTGGTGGCCACATGGGGTACGCACAACACTACATGTCAACACCAGCAGTAAATCTCCTGCCTGTCAATGGTCGGAGAAGGGAGCACTTAAATTATGGGAGTACTGGCTTGCGCGAATCGCCATATTCGATCACATTCAAGATTTTGCCCAAAGGAGACGACGAGTATAGGACTCGATCCTTGTTGTTTTCCAACCTTAACCCAAATATTCAATTTCATGAATTCCTGACCAAGTTTGGGAAATTTGGTCGCATCGAGAGCGTGTACCTGATAGATCTCAAGCAGAAATCAATTCTGCTGAGTTTTCTCACGAAGGACACATGCCTCGACTTTTACAATAGTGTGTTGCAAAAGTTGTCTGAGTTCAAGAGAGAGTTAAGATCAAAGGAACTGACGCTCAATTTTGTGGCTTTGAAAGAAGTTACATCGGGTCCCTCATTGCAAGACGTGAAACAAGAAGTTCTAAGGAGAGGTGCAACAAGATCATTAGCATTGGAATTTGATCACGAAATAACAAGTCAGGAACTCACTATGAATTTGGACATCTTAGGGAATTCTGGACCACGTTATGTGGTGGAAGCGGTCGATATTGTGAATACCGACCATCCTTCAAAGCATTTTAACAAGCATTACGCCGTGATTCACTTCATTAGCATTGCTATGGCTCTAGAAACCATAGATTACTTACAGAAGCAAAGGCAAAAGTTGGGGATTGTTAAGTTGGTCTTTGCCCACACCAACTCAACCGCTAGCAAGTCAGATTTCTACAACTCTTCAAGTTCAAATTTGGGCAGCACTAGTCAAAACAATTCTGAGTCAAGTCTTTCGGTACACAATGACATACAGACTATTGCAAATAAACTGAAAGATGTCACATTGAAAGAACAAACCTTAACCATCGTGCCAGCCGACTACTCTCCTACCGTAATTGAAGAGCATCAGCAACATTGCGCACATATCAGCATTTCGAAACCACTTGGCTTAGATGGCACAGTAGCTAACGGAAATGCCTCTGCGTCTCCAACCCCTCAGGAGCTATTAATACACGAAAGAAACCCATCAATTTCTCACGAGAACGCTATCTCCATGATGCAATCAGGTGGACAGGGTTCAGCCTATTCGACCCCAGGCTACCATTACTATATGGATGTTGCGAAGCCCTTAAGTCATACTCTACAACAGCAGTTCACAACAACCGCACAAGTTGCAACTGCCATGGGTGGTGGCCTGGGAAACCGCACCGTTTACATCGGCAATATCAGCCCGCGTTCCAAAGCAGAGGATATTTGCAATGTTGTTCGCGGTGGTATCTTACAGTCCATCAAGTTCATCGAATCAAAGCATATCTGTTTTGTAACGTTCATTGAGGCAGCGGCGGCAGTCCAATTTTTCGCTAATTCTTCAATTGAACCAATAGTATTGCATGGAAACGTTCTAAAAGTGGGATGGGGTCATCATTCAGGTGATCTTCCCCAATCAATTTCTTTAGCGGCTACTGTGGGCGCGAGTAGAAATGTCTACGTGAGCTTACCAGAGTATGCTTTTAAGGATAAATACATTAAAGATCCTGAATATCAAAAATTCAAAGAAAAGTTCAAATTGCCCTCCAAGGAACAACTTAAAAAAGACTTTAATACGTATGGAGATATTGAACAGATCAACTTCCTTGATGACGGGCACTGTTGTTGGGTGAACTTTATGAACATCACGAGTGCCATCAGATTAGTAGAGGATGCAAACAACCCTACAGACAACGCCAAATTTCATGATAAATTTCAAGGAAGATACAACGGTTTAATTATTGGTTATGGTAAAGATCGTTGTGGTAATGTGAACAAAAATTTGGTAGCCAACAAAAATTCAAAATTCTTTAAAAAGGTTAAAAAAGCTAGTTACAACATTAGAATACAAAAGCAACAAAAGTTTGATGATAAAAAAGCTCAGAAATGCTATGATTCACAAAACTCGAAAGAACCTTCGGATGCTGTTATCGAAGCTGATGCATTCGGTATTTCAATTGGTGAAGCTGGGAATAGAGGTGAAGAATCTGATGAGGAACAAAGATTAGAGGAAAGCGAGCTGCTCAGGTTGAGTAATGCCAATAATAATGAAGAAGGCTTAGGTATTTCTTTAGCACATGATACTCCTAATGATACTTTCAACGTTGAATCAAAAAAGGCTCATTCTAATACCGAAGATGATGTAGAATTCTCCTCATCAGCTTCCTCAGACATTGATATAATTGTCTCTTCGCCAGGTGATGCCTCTAACTACGGCAATGCAGGAAAAGTTCATAGAATACGTTCTGACGTACAGAATGGTCATTCTCATCAGACTGCAAGAAGAACAGCTCACAATTTGAATGGCTTCAAGGGCTTTTCACCAATGGTTTCAAGCACATCGCTGGACGCTGTACCACCGTTGGCCCCTTCAACTGTTTCTCGCCAGTATTCCACTGCGACAAAGCAGAACAGCCGTCGTAGCAGTACTGGTTACGTCGGAGAGCAAAGTTCGCAAGATAAAAGCACCAGGAACAAGAATACACACAGACGTAGAAAGTCCAAGGCTATTCCTGGATCCGATGTAATGGCCCAGTATCTCGCCCAATTACAACACTCTACCTTCATGTATGCGGCAAATATTCTTGGCGTTGATGAAGATGAAACCGTTTTTTACGACGAAAATGGTCCCGTGAGGGAACCAATATAGAATAGTCATATAGAGGATTTCCGCATTGTTACATTTATTATAAGTTTGTAAGTCAGTCAAGAATTATACGTTTGGAAGTGAATCGTTTTTTTCTATTGGTGTGTGAAGATGACCATGACTAATTTAATTTATAATTTTTTTTTTTTTCGAGAAATGACAGTAACGTTTTTTTACACTGGAGGCCTTTGTTTTATCAATTCTGACAGGAGAGCCCTTAGTTACCTTTTGGATATCGCAAGAGTTGTTATCACAATTTTTTTCAAGAGTACTTGCGGGTGATGTCTAAAGAGGATTCGTCTGAAGAATCGATTTGCAATATAGGAGAGGAAGCGGCAAATCGAACCGCAGAGAGTACGCCTGTGAAAGGATATGAAAATCCAAGCCTCCAAGATCCTTCTTATTTCAAATGCCGGTGGAAGGAGTACCTTTTCATCTTTTCATCTATGGTTTCCCAACTATTAAATCAAGCAGCCAGTACACAGACTAATCCACTGTTTAATGTTCTTTCTGACGACTTCAACTCTTCTACTGCCGAGCAGACATGGCTCATGGCCTCTTTTGCCCTCGTATCAGGATCTTTCATTCTTGTTAGTGGAAAGTTTGGAGATATTTACGGATTAAAGAAGAGTCTTCTCGGTGGTTATGCTGTGATTATCATTTGGTCGCTTATTTGCGGCTTCACTACTTATGCACACAGTGTTAATTTCTTCATTGTCGCTAGAGCATTCCAAGGTCTTGGTATTGCATTCATTGTACCCAATATTATGGGCATAGTCGGTAATGTTTACGTACCAGGGTCTAAGAGAAAGAATATGGTAATTAGTTTGATCGGTTCATGCGCGCCTATTGGTGCAACTCTCGGCGTTGTTTTCTCGGGTCTGATCGCTACAAAAAGCACTAATTGGGCTTGGACATTTTATGCATATGCTATTGTTGCGGCCATAAACGCATGCATTGCGTATTGGATAATTCCAAACAGTATTCCTACCAATGTCCATAATTTCTCAATGGACTGGATAGGTTCTGCGATAGGTGTAACAGGGCTGATTTTGTTCAACTTTGTTTGGAACCAAGGACCAATCGTTGGCTGGGGCAAGGCCTACGTCATTGTCCTTCTTATTGTATCGGTCATTATCCTAGTTACCTTTTTCGTTTACGAGGCTAAATACGCCAAGGAGCCATTACTTCCCCATGCTGCTCTCTTCAATCGTCATCTGCTGATGATCCTGCTTTCGATTTTCTTTGGGTGGGGGTCCTTCGGAATATGGACATTCTACTACATGTCATTTGTACTCAATCTCAGACATTACACTCCGTTATGGGCAGGTGGAACGTACTTCACATTTGCAATTTTTGGCATCATTGCGGCATTATTTGTTGGCTTCAGCATACACAAGGTACACCCGTCCATAATCCTTCTTCTATCCATGTTGGCTTTTGACAGCGGTTGCATCATGCTTTCAGTGACTCCAGTGCACCAGACTTATTTCCGCATGATTCTTGGTATGCAGGTCATTTTAAGTTTTGGTATGGATCTCTCATTTCCCGCAGCGTCGATCATTTTAAGCGACAAGCTGCCTCCCCAGCATCAAGGTATGGCCGGTTCGCTAGTCAGTACTATGGTGAGTTATTCCATGTCGCTGTGCCTAGGTATTGGGGGAACGGTCGAACACCAAATAAACAAGACAGGTGAAGACCTACTTAAGGGCTATAGAGCAGCACTATATCTTGGTATAGGACTTGCTTCACTTGGCGCTGCCATTAGTTTTGCCTTCATGGTAGAAAATCTCTATCTCATCCGGAAGACCAAACTTGAACAACAAAAAGACGTTGAGTCAAAATCTCACATCTAATTTACATTTCTTATCCGAGCATCTCAAGACTTGTTGATAAACTAATAAAAGCGTATTAGAAAGATGAATATCGCTTCTACAAGCATACATAATTTAATTTTACCATACCAAATCCATTTCTTAAACTATGCCTCATCTAGCTGTCCAGATAATTGTACAGTTCTTTTTGAGTCAGAAATATCTTGTTTGTTCTAGGCGTACTTCTATTCTAGGTAATAGACCGTTCAGTTATCGCGTGTGTTTGGACTACTCTAAATGGGCAATGAAAACCGTAAATCATTAGCTACGCGGTAGCGTGTTTTTTTATTTACGTCAAATGGTCGAGCGCTACTTCTTACCAACTTGAAGAAATAAGCAATTGGTAGATCAAGAACGAACGCTCGGTGTGATTTGAATCATTGTTAAAGTTTTTCACTTCTACCTCACATTCACTTTCTGAACTAGTCATTTTTCGGTGATAACCCGCCAGCTGGATTTATTAACCAGTTAACCATTTTTTTACGCACAGGCGGTGATATGAAAGGACTGACTTGTCGTTTGAGTCTTGTTGTGTTATGGCTTGCAGCAAAATGCTGGGGATATTTTCCTGTATGCGAAGAGAGGTTCGTAAGTACCAATGACTCCTACAAAGTGAGTACTTTTGAAAAGTTGGTTGACACTGCCGAATCCTCCAACACGCTTGGGAGTGGGAAACAGTCAGTTACCGCAGCTTCTTCTTCGTCTCCTTATAATGCTACCAACCAGAATAATAATACTTTGGGAGTGTCTTTGAAGCCAGGGGTGTCGATGCTTCAAACAGACTCTAGTGGTTTGGCTTATTTTGTGAATGTCACTGTGGGCAATGATGTCTTTCCCTTACTGATTGATACGGGCTCAGCGTATCTATGGGTATATGGCAGTGATTGCAACGCAAGTGCATGCTCCGGCAAAGAACTTTTTTCCACCTCTTTTGTTGAAAAGGAACAATCCACCTTCGCCCTGCAGTATTCTTCCGGGGTTGCATCTGGTGATGTCTATGAAGACAGAATTATTGTCAATAAGCTTGCAACAACTGAGAATTTTACCTTCGGTGTTGCGGATGAAGTTCCCAGCACTTTTGCGAACTATCCCATTAGCGGAGTCTTCGGGCTTCCATCAAACAATTCTGAAAATATTCAAAGCATCATATCAGCGTTGCGTGATTCTAACGCAATTTCCATCGAAAAGTTTTCCATTTACTTGGGAAATTTGAATACATCTAATTTTACTGACTCTTCGTCAACAGAGTATCAAACGGCAATGGTAAATAAGGGAATATTTGCCATTGGTAATGAAATAAATGAGCTCTATACTGGCGAACTGTACTATAATAAGTTACTGTCTAACGAAAACCATTACTGGTCGTTGGGTATAAACAACATTTACATTGATTCATACGCTGTCAACTTTACCAACTATGAAAATTATACTGGAACACATTCCCACACCAAAAGATCCAGCATAGTTGACAGTGGAACAACTTTATTAATTTTACCAAAGCAAGATGCTTTGGATGTTCATTCATTTTTCGAGAGTTCTGTCACTGATGGGACAAATTTTGCCATACTGTGTAATTCTACACAAAACATCACTTTTGATTTTGGTTCCAAGAATTGGACATTATCGCCCTCTTCCTATCTAGGCTCAGCATATCCAGAAAGCTCCACATATGATGGCTATTGTGTCTCCAATATCCAGGGCCTTGAAATCAATGAGGCGTGGATCTTGGGCAACGTTTTTCTAGAGAACGTGTATTCTGTCTTTGATGTCGAAAATCAAAAACTAGGATTCGCAGAGAAAAATAGTAATGCCGTGATCATGCCTTATTCAGATTCAGCTTCAGTGTCTACAGCTAGTGGTACTCAACCCACTAGTGAGATTGCGACCACAACTTCCTCTTCAAGATCCTCATCCTCTTCATCTTCTCGCTCTACCTCATCCGGGCTGGCTGCGGATTTGAGACCTGGAGGTATAACTCTCGGCCTCTCCATGGTTCTGAGCTTCTTCTTATAAAACAAACTTATGCATTAAACTAGTGTTTATCTTTCACTTTGTACATTATTATACAAGAACTTTACTTTATTCGAAATTTATAACGGCCCCAGAGTGCATTATGCCACAAGGTTCTATTGAAATATGCCTTCTATGGATGAATAAACTCCATTGCCTTTTAATCATACTCTTCCGCTATCTCTCTCTATAGCAGCAATTTGCTTAATATCATCATCGCTTGGCTCATAAATATGCCACAGTGTATAATGTGGAAACCCACCGACACTGTAACCCATTTTTTTGGCCATTTTTCCAAATGCTTCTGTTTCGGCATGATTTTCGAAAGTAAATGCTGGAAAGTGAACACCATTTCTAAACAATTTTGCCTTTGCTAAGATTGACACACCTCCAACACCATCTAAAGGTAAAACCTCAGTTGGATCACCGTTTGGATTCCTAATGTAAGCCAAATGTACCCTATAAGTCGGATACTCAGCATAACCCTCCACAATTACGTCATCTTCATCCAAATTCTTGGCAAGCTTAAGAGCCTCAGTTGACTCAACCCATGAGTTCAGGTCGTAAGCTTGTTCACCGCCTAGGAAATCGGGCAAAGGTCTCCAAACATTAGGTACAGCAACATCATAATCCATTGCCATCAAATCTTGAATTACCGAACCAGGGCAGAGTTCAACGTCGGCATCTCTCCAGTAAACCCACGAGTGATAAGGTTTCAAGGCATTCGCCGTCAGCCAATTTCTGGCACGTCCCATAAGCTTGCGTCTGATACCCTGGACAGTGACGGCGTGCCTATCGGAAAAGCCTTGTCCAATAATCTGTCCGAAATCTTTTTGAAAAATTTGGATTGATCTAAAAGGTTTGTCATAATTCTCGTGAAATGGAGGGTTGAATGCTTCTCTTACTTTGTCCAAATACTCCTGTTTCATATATTTGAGAAAGAGATCTTGAGAACCTTTAGGATTCGCCTTGTCATTACGCTCTTCTTGATCCGCAAGTAATAAAGATAACGTACCGTTTTGAAGCTCTTTAGAGTATTCCATCAAAGCACCAAGGGTGTTGTCTCCTTCAGAACAATCACTAACAAGAAACGCGACATCTATCAACTCATGTGGATAAGTCAAGTTCATGAGGTTCTTGAACATGAGTGGTAGGACATTTTCCGCATTTCTCAAAGGAATAAGCATCAGAACATGCTCTTTGTTTTCTGCACCATGCGAAGTACCTTCATACTTGCTGAGATCATATTCTTCGACAGTGCTGTCTAGCAACATTTGAACCTCTCGGTCATAGGTAGCTTTGTCTGCCTCGCTGAGAGCTTCAACACCTCCCTTAGTAATTAGATAATGTTCAGCACCCGAGTCGTATTTGCGAATTGCTTCAACGTCGACATCTTTGAACTCGTAGTCGTAGTATTCTTTGTCTTCTAAAGTAAAGCTCTTGTACGACGCGCCTGAGCCATCTTCGGTGAATACCCTCGTCAGGAGATAAAGAAAGCCACAGAGAATAAATAATATACCAACTGGACTGCGTAGCTTGAGCTTCAACGGAAGACTCCAAGCTGAATTGGCCCCCTTCTTCTTCGGTGAAAGTTTCGCGTGACCCCGAGAACTGCTTCAAAAATGGTTAGAATCCTGCTTCAATCAACTATTATAAATTCAAAATCAAACATACATCGGCAACTCTAGCTTGTGTTGCTTCTTATTGAAGATAAATGCCATTTTAAAGCCTCGCTTTTGATGTAAGGAATGTTCTTTAACTTGTTGGCCCTTTCTTGATCAAATCCGGAAAAATTCCATCATCGCGTACGAATACAAAGTCTAGGCGTTTACATAGTAATAAAATACACGTTATACAGAAAAGACAAAGTATCTATATCGGATTCCCCGATCGGATAAACCAATTTGATAAATAGCTTAACAGGATTCAAGCTGTTTATTATGAAAATATGGCTACGATTGGGATATTGTAAACATCAGGGCTTGTTAATCTTAGCAACAGCTTGAGCTATTTGCTTGATGTCGTCTGGAGAGGTTCTGCAACATCCACCAATGATGCGCGCGCCATTTTTGGCGTACACCCTAACTACATCATCCCATGTGGAGGTTTGACTCGAGTTTTTGAGCCAAACCTTTTTTACGGTGTCGTAGATTTCACCGCTGTTTGGATAAACGATTAATGGCATTTCAGGTAACTCTCTGTGGAGTGAACGCAGAATCTCAGGTGAATGATTGAAACTGACACAGTTAATGCCCAGAAGCAATAAATTAGGATTCAATTTGTCGCCCAGAGATCTGATGATGTGAGCAACCTGAGCCATGGTGGTTCCGTCTCTCAAAACACCATGTTCGTGAACGGAGAGACCAATATAAAAGGGCTTAGAAATGATAGTTTCATCCCAGGACAAAATGGCTCTCAATTCATGAACGTTTGGAATAGTTTCAAAGCCAATAATGTCCAGTTTGTCATTATTGTTGAAATTCTCCAACTGAGGCCTGAAGTATTCCAAAAAGTCGATGTCTTCCGGATGATCTCCGTAATTACCTGTGAACTCAGAGCACACATGAGCACCCCAAGCACCAATGCAGCCGACGAGATACTTATCTTCACCAATGCAGTCCCGCGAGAATGACACAATTCTGTCTAACAAGGAGTTGTACTCTTCAAGTGTTTTGATTGGCGTGTTTTCCGAGACAGACTTGAAACTGGTTTGGTATGTGATGGTCATTAATATACGAGCACCCGCAGCCAAAAAGTCAGCAAACATCTCCTTGACAATTTTGCGGTCATTTGAAGATTGATCAGACCAGAAAGAATCGCTTATAAATGGGATGGTAGACCAGACAGGGTTTGCGACTTTGATGCCTCTGTTCTCCAATTCAGTACCTTGGCCACCATCCAGTACTAAAATTTCATTAGGATGGTCTTTGAAATATTGGTTGATCGGTTGACGAGTCATTAATGTAATACAGTATATGTAGTAGGTCTAGTTGAATATGACCTAAAAACTTTTGATGTTCTTGCTTTCTAAGTTCTAACTATGACTAACCATGATATGATTTTTCTTCGATGACAATTTTTTTTTATGCATAGACGGCGCTAGAGCCGCACGCGAGAAATCCTACGAGAGAAAGTATAATTTTAAAAAACCGTCGAGATGCCATTTTCCGAGGGCTTGAACCACTCAGTTTTAAGCGCGTCCCATGCTTGAAGAGCCAAATCTTGAGCAGCAGCTTCCGTATTTGAGACTGCTTCGATGTAAACTTTAAGCTTAGGTTCAGTTCCGGATCCTCGTATGGTGAACCTCACACGCTCGGGAATTGAATTTTGAGAATGAACGGGTTTCAGCGTTGCAGTGATCATTTGAGAGGACGAGTCTACCGGCAGCAATGGTTTATGATCTTGTGTGTCAGACTGGAAACCAACTGTGAGGTCCCTGAAAGACATTACTTGAAACGTCGGCCCGATCTCAGATGGGTATCGTTTTCCTAATGAGACATAGCTGTTTCTGATTTTCTCAAAAAGTTTGTTAGTTAATGCAGGATCAGGCACAACGTAGTATCCATTGTACTCCTTAAACACACCGTATTTCTCATAACCGGCCTCTAAGACATCTATAAGTGTGCGACCCTCAGACTGCCACTTTGAATACATCTGCAAAAAGACAATAGCAGCACTAATACCATCTTTGTCGTGCTCGACACTTGGGAACATGTAGCCAATTGCCTCCTCGTAACCAAAGGGAACGTAATAACCTTTTTCCTCGAGGACCTTCGCTTGATTACCCAACCACTTGAACCCCGTAAGAGTATCTTCGAAATGGAAATTTTCAATCTCTGCCATACTTTTGATCATTTGAGATGAAACTGTGGAGTTGATCATTGCTAGAGGATGGTTCTTCTTGAACCTTTCATCGAGACACGTATACATTTCCCACTCATAAAAGGCGAACAAGAATCCAATTTCGTTTCCTGTTAGCTGTTTCCACTTTTCACCAATTTTTACAGCTGCCGAAAATCTATCGGCATCAGGATCATTGGCGAGAACTAATGAGATATTCTTGGCCTTAGCCAAGGTTATTGCCATATCTAAAGCACCCTTCTCTTCTGGGTTTGGAAAATTCACTGTAGGAAAAGCTGGATCTGGATTTTGCTGTTCTTTCACGTAACAAAAGTCCCTATCTTCACAAAGGCCTAACACATTGTCGGCAATTCTTTTGAAAATTTCGTAGCCAACTCCATGCATTGGCGTGTAAATAAACCATGGCTTCTCCGCTGGCTTCAAATGCGTTTTAAGGAGCTTATCTTTAAGTGTATTAACATATGCAGCTGTCATGTTTTCTTTAACATCACACAACTGGTAGCTTTCGAGACCCTCGCTTATTAGGTTGTCACAGTCCCATGCCCTCTCAAACGGAATGAGATTTTCCTCAATGGATTTGGCAATCAAGCGATCGTGAGGAGGTATGATTTGACATCCATTTGCATAATATACTTTATAGCCGTTGTCCATTTTCGGATTGTGACTTGCGGTAATCATGACACCGACAGAGGCGCCAACTTGATTTATTGTGAAAGGAACCATAGGGGTATGAACAAATTCCTCTTTCTGAGATCCTTGAGGTAAACATAAGTAGTAAACCTTGAAACCGAGCTGGAGAAATGCTGCTAATGTCACACGGGCGAAACGATCTGAATTGTATCGATGGTCATGTCCTACCACGGCTATCTTACGTTCAGGGAATTGTTCTGCAATATACCTTGCTAGGCCCTGAGATGCTTGTAAAACAGTTAAACTATTCATACGACTGAAGCCGGCCTCCATTTTTGCTCTTAATCCAGCTGTCCCGAATGATATTCTGCTGTCCAATCGAGCATGTAGCTCTGACCACTGTTTCCCTTCAACCAGTTGTTCAATTTCAGCACGAGTATCAGTGTCTTTGTCATATTTTAGCCATAAATCAACCAAACCTCTCAGGTCGGCAGGTAAATCCGAACCTACAACCATTATAATTTAATTTCGAACTTTTATCCTCTTCTTATGCTATACCCCTAGTTAACAATACCGTAGTGTCGAGATGTTCTTTTATAGTAGTTCATACACGTGATCAAAGTTTGGTACGCGATCACGTTGTCGTATTTTATGCAAAATATGTTCTAATAGTACATAATGAAATGCTAACCTTCTAGTTCATGCAGAAGTTCTGCCTCTAGATCATCGTCTCCTTCTTCAACAGTGTCACTTGTGTCTAAATGACGACGCTTTGCGTCAGTTTCATCACTTGTATCGATGGAGCGCTTGTTGCTTAGGGTATTTCCCTCATCAGCATGCTCTGTCTTTCCAATTCCATGTTCGGAATCGTTGCTTTCCAAATGCTGCGATCCGTTTCCAACGGGGTCTATGCTTTCCTGCTTTTCATTTTTCCGATCGGTGACCATCTCCTTTTCCTCGGTTAAGTCTTCTTCCTCGTCATTCAAGAATTCGTCCATCTCGTCGTCGTCATCATCTAGCCAAGAGTCATTTCCTGCTAATAAGTTTGGTTCCTCTTGGATATCTTGCGAAAAATCCTGTCTAGTATTGTTCATCAACTTTGCCTTTTCTTTCAACCGCTTCTTGAAGTCTTGGAGCTCTTCATCGCTAACGGCTTGCTCAATGATGAGCTCGTATGGCTTTTCATCTACTCTCTTCCAATTAACTAAGCATTCAAAGATCCAGTCTGGATGAATGACTTTGATGTTCGGGTTGAAAGTTTTTGCTAAGCGCGCTTTGAAAGTCCCTGGTGTCTTCGTTATTACATGTGTGGTCGTTTCATCAATATCCGCATCAGTCTTAGCACCAAACATGTTTGTCCAGAGAACTATATCTGCCTGTCTGATGTCAGTGCCTAAGGGAATTAAACCAGAAAAGACGAAGTGACAGTTTGAAAACACTCTATTCTTCATTCGAGGCATTAAAATCTTAATATCTGGAGTGGTTTCCTGTTTCACCAATTCCTTATAATATTCCTCATGCACACGTAACAAAATTTCTGACAAGTGGGGTAGTTCATCGTCATCATCAATTAACAACTTTTGATTATGTAAATGCTTCTGCAGCTCAGCCAGCGGCCTATTTTGTTGTTGAACTTCTAACGATGCATTGTGCTCTAATTTCTTGGCCAAGTCTTCCTTCGCGATAGGCCTCTCGGGCTGATTCTCCTCATTGATTTTATTAAATTTTTCTTCCTGTTTCTTCACCTCCTGATCTATTTTCTCCTGTAATTTCTTTTCATTATCCAAAATATCAGTCAAAAGTTCTTCTTCTTCGGCCTTCTTCCGGTGTCTTCTTCCCAGGTGGAGCATTGAATTTTGCTGTCTAGGCAGAAAATTAGAGTTGATGTCCCCCACACCTACAAAAAAGTTATAAGGTATAACCTTAATCAAATTCTCACTCCAATTCCATACATCACCCCTGTCATCGATGATTACAACCATTGATTGATCCATTGGAAACAATCTCTCCAGCGATTTATGTGTCAACGATCCATTTTCATCTCGAGAAAGTATCCGATCCCCGAATAGTTTTCCTGTTGGATCAATGATTTTCGCGATCTCTAACGCGTAGGCCCTAGTAGCCATTGTATAAATATGCAGCTCAAAGTGAGGGGCGACCTTGTCAAAAAAATCCTGTAAACCTGGCCTTAGTTTCACATAGTATTTACACTTCCTTATAGGTGGTTTTGGCCCCATATAAAAGGGTGGAAGTATCGGTTCTTCGTCTAATGAAAACGTCTTAACATTTTTAAGCGCATCATAATTTGGGTTTGTAGGATCTTTGGACCATTCTTCAATTGTAGGATCTACCCCACAATGTATCACTGTTTGATCTAGATCCACTACAAGTACAAGTTTTTTTAGCTCCCTTAGCTGTTTTTGAGCACTTTTCTCGATCGTTGCTGCCTGTCTCTCAGATACTTTTATATTAGTATTATTGTGGGAGACTGTTAACTTGGTATTCAGAAAACCATTATCTGGCATATTCTGGTCGTCTTCTTCAACTGCCTTGCCGCAAATCACACAAAGACCTCCATAAGTTACATCATGCGAACAAGTCTGGGTGACTTCTGCAATTACGTGAGAACCATTCACGAACTCATCACCTAAGGCTACGTTGAGCGACACTAGTCGCCCTTCAATTGGTGAATCAAATGTTCCTATCAAATCTACACGTTGCTTCTTCTTCTCAGATTCTTCATTAGGCGCAGTGATAACATCTTGAAATTCCCAATACTTGTAAGCAAAAAGTCGTTGTCCCTTTTTGACTAAATCTCCCGTTGAAGCACATAACTGTGCTATCGTTATAGGGTACGGTAGATTTGTGGGCAACTTAATTGGCGTCGTCATCGCTTGTCACTGCAATGTTTGGCTAAACTCCCATCGATATCGATTTCCAAATAAAAATTTTTTCTTGCGATGACTTTTGAGGGTTAGACAAAGGCGAGTCCAAGAGTAGTAAGACGTGATACAACTTACGAAGTATTATAGAGAATTGCAGATTTATGCACAATTATTCTTACAAGTATCTTGATGTCCTATTTCTAAATATAAATTTAAGAATCAGTCGAGTGATTTAACTGTCTTTGGAAGCTGAAACGGGAGATCAGTGCCATCGTCATGTAGCTGACACGTTGACTAGACAGAGGTATTCTTCACTGCGTCGGCCCAATACTATCCTTTGTAGATGATGGATTGATTTGCGGCTGTGCCGAAGAATTTCCAATCGGAGGACGTTGTAGTTTCTGGGAATCGGCAAGTGGCTCTTCTGATGCCTCCAGCACCTGCTCAGCTAATGGATCTACTGATTGCTCTAAATAGGGCTCCTGTGATTGCTCAGCTGAAGGGTGCGCGGATAGATCTACCGATGCATCTAATGAAGGATCTAATGTCGTCTCTGCGTCAGCCTGGGTGCTGGAGGATCGTAGCGGTTGCGAAGGATCAACCGAAGACATGGGCGAATGTGGAGAGCCCATGCCATTTATGAGATTAGTCGTTATGTTTGCATGGAGCTCAGTTGCCTCAGCATCATTATTTCCTGCATGCTCTTCATCACTATCACTACTGCCCAAGTCCCCGAAGAAAGGATCCTCATTTAGGTTGCTCAAGTCGAGTACCTCGTATTCTGAACCTCTTTGGTTTTGCTTTTCCTGTCGAATCTGCTCTTCTCTTAAGCGTCTCCTTTCTCTTGCCAATTGCTCCTCACGTTTCCGTTTTTCTTTTAACAATGGAATGGACTTCATCAAGCCTACGTAGCTTCGTTGGAGCATGGATGTCAATTCCTTCTCGCTATGCTTTGTATTAATGGGATTTTTGCCAAATGGCGATGCTAAATGTGCTGCCTTGATAAACGGGTTTTTCTGAAGCTGCAGCTGGTGTCTTTCATATTGTAGAACCTTTCTCCTAGCTATTTCTACGCGATTTCTGGCATATTCTTCTACATTGTAATTGTTTAAAGGAAGAGTTCGCAGCAACTCATTGACACTGTTGACCGTTTTAGATTTTTTCTTTTTAGGAGGACCGTAAATTAGCAACGTTTCTTGCTGACTTTCTTCGAAAATGCTTTTTTCGTTAGTGATTTTGAGTTTTTCTTCTTCAAATCCTTCCTTCATGAATTTGATAAGAGCTTGTTCTGAGTGATTTGCCTCCTCGACCAGTTTGCGCTTCATCTGCCTTTCATCTGTGATCGGTTTGTTGTACTGTGAGGTAAACCTGTAGGTGTGATCTGGAGGGAAATCCGGCAGCCATTTGGGAACATATTTATTGTTCTTATTAGAAGGCGGTACAAGGTCCAAAATTTCCACGTCCTTAACGAAAAATTCTGAATGTGCACCCTCCAGGAGTTCCTTTTCTGACATTTGTGTATGCTTTTTTTCGCTTATCTGCCTACTATTATTGTTGACATGTTGAACTTCTTCAGGATACTGAGACTTCACGAACTGAGATCGTTCAAACTCTGCAACTAAATCGGCATATTCGAGATCGTATCCCTTCAGTATTAATAGTAAGTCTTTTTTACAAATGCAATGCCGCCTTTGTACGTTCGCCATTTTCTTCAGTGCTTTGAGCATATCCGATAGATACTCTTCAACAAGTAGTATAAGATTTTCCAGACCAAATTCTGATATGCAACTGTCTTTTCTCATTGCTTTTAGTTGGATAGCTATGGCCCTCCCCAGCATATTTTGAAGAGGATCCTCCAATTCATTCGCGGGTACTTCCTCTAAAGTTGGTAACTTCTTCAATTGAATTTCTTTTGCCGTTTCTGAAGAGGCCACTGTATCCACTGGCTTTGCGGTTGTCATTTCAGCCTCCTGTATCGCTTTCAAACCCTGGGCTTTATATTCCAATACTGACTTATTGATTGATGAAATAGTCAAGAAGCAAATGTTTTGAAAACCATAAATCACGCTACACGAATGCGTAAACTTAGCAGGAAGCTGTATTGAAACATCTTTCTAAATACTTGAAACTACACAAAATAAGCCTCGTTAAGTAGATCTATACATCACCATTCAACAAAGCATCTAGAGCTCCTTGAACAGAGCCACCACTACGCCTGAGAGCCGCAACATTTCTGTCGAACTCGAAAAAGCCCATATCATTCAATTGTCTTAGTTGTTGCTCGTAACGCTCCTCCGGTGGTCTGTTGTCCTGCGGCTGAGCAGCTGAAGAAGTACTGCCTAGCAAGGAAGACAGTAGTGTAGGGTCGAAAGCTGGTGCTTGACTTGAGTTGGAGTCAGAAGCACCTTGTCCGAACATAGATGCAAATGGGTTGCCTTGGAGATTGCCTGCCTGAGGGTTGAGCAGAGATGCAAATGGATTGGCAGGAGGAACTTGTGGGTTAACATTTGAATCACGATTCTCGGTCGCAGATTCCGTTGCATCAGAAGATGCAGGAGCCCCAGTGGCTGAACCAGGGGCTGGGAACGAGTTTACATCGGCGCCACCCTCTGCACCGCCAAACATATTGGCGAATTGCATGCTTTGCCTTATCATGTCTGGGTTGGTCATCATTTGTCTAAAGAAAGGGCTCTGTAACAGCTGGCGCGCCTGAGGTCCCATGTTTTGCAATTGTGGGCTCTGTTGGATCAAGAAGTCGATCATTTGTGGATTGCTTAGCATTTCGTTCATCTGAGATTGCATCACAGGATTCTCGAGCATGCGCAACATGTCATCCGAGTTGGGGGCATTGTTGAGACCGCCGTCAGGGCCAAATGTGTCAGCAGAAGGCAGGTTCAAGAACCCAGCATAGCGAGCACTAGTTAGATCGGCTAGTGGATTGAAGCCACCGGTTTGGCCCGACGAAAGGTTGGAGGGTACGGAAGGCGTGGCCTGTGCGCTAGCGCTCGAAGGAGCTGCCTCCGTGGCCGAACTGCCGCTTCCGCTAGCAGCTGGCTTGGCGCCACCTGACTTTACCAGATGGATTGCATGCCCATCCTCAATTTTGTATGACTCAACGCTCTGGTCGTCCTTTAATATCTTGCCGGAGAAGATCAGTCTTTGGTTCTCCGCTGGGATCTCAGACACCTTGGAGATCGCTTCTTTTAACTCGGCAACGCTGCTCGAAGGCTCCACCGAGACATCCCATTTATTTTGTCCGGACTTCACATGGATTGTGATCCCCATTGTTGTGTGCATACTACTTTTAGGCTGGGTGGCAAACGATAGGACGATTAGGGAACCTAGTCAATGCTGGAATTTGGCCACCGGAAGAAGGAACGCAATCGCGCTGAACGAAATAGAAAAATTATAATAATCACATGATCACCAATATGATCACAATGGACGTAATATCACATGACCACATTGCATCGTTCTTCAAAATCATGTCGCGTCGAACGAAGAAAGTAATGTTTCGGGCTTTTTCAAGATTTTTATTTCTTTTTGTCTTCATTTTAGAAATTCTTTTTCTTCGTTTCTCCGTCAAACGGAGAAGCTCGAGGCTCTAGTTCCTTGGCTTACTTAGCCGTTATGTTAGCTGCTAGCATGATTCTATAAGCTGAAAAATAAAATGTTGACTGCTAGAGCACAGTAAATAATTAGTAGATCGGTAGAAGCTCCAGCAATCTGTGCCCTGGAAGTTTAGCTTTGAATCATCTGTAGACACGTAAGCCTAGAGAATTAAACTGCACAGTGCATCAATATCTCTAATGCAACGTTAGGCCAAAGGCAAGGTTTTACAACGGTATAAGGCCATTAGAATCCCTGACCCACACACCACAGGAAGCAGAGGTACGTCTAGTCAGTAGGTTTTTTTTTAATTTTTTTTTTTTTTTTCGAAATATGCACTCATCTATAACACATATAGGACCTTCTAGTCAGATTGGGTACTGAGCATTAGCTATCGTGGTCCGCGTTGCATATCAACATGGCCAAGACGCTAGCTCAAGGACGCAAACCTGGGTCCGGTAGGAAACCGGGGAAAGCAAAGACGCTTGCGCAGGGTCGCAAACCTGGATCTGGCAGGAAACCGGGTAGTAAATCCAAGGTCACGAAGAAACAGGCAGACACAGGCGTATCTGCCCCATCCAAAGGACTCGACACCGTTATTGAACTGCGCATATCTAAGGATGCAGTCTCTGAGGGTGCCAAAATCATAAATGCGACGGTCGAGAGGCCATTAGAACTCACCCAGATACCCGACGTTGGGAAGTCTATCCATAGTATGCAGCCGTCTCAACCTCCTATAGATGATCGAGACCGCACAAGAATACCTCCTATTGGAGAGTTACGTCCTATTAGTGGTTTCATTTCTCCCATGATGGGTGCATCTAACATGCCGTATATGCCAATGCAGCACTGGATGCCAGGAGCGGCAGCACCCTTCGCATCTGGATATACCAGCTACATTTCGACCAATCTATCACAGCCGAAGCCGCAACCCTCCTCCACGCAGGCCGTGTCCGTCGACATCCCACGAGCGGTGAGACTGTTGTCGACAGACCGGTTGCCCCAAGTTCAAGAAATGGGCGAACCTTTGCCTTCCGTTTCATCTCAATCCACCAATACCAACTCCGAGTAATATCGAGCTACTTCTCGGATATATAGCATCACTGCATCAGGTATTTTACCCTTTTGCTTTCCCTCACTCTCTGCGATCTTGTACCCTTTTGTAAGTATTTATGAACGCTAACAACTAATTCTATAATCAGGCTTGTGTATGTTATAGTATAATTGGCCCTGAAAAGTCGCACTTTTTTGGCTTTGCAATCGTTTCCTCCTCCTGAGATGCACTTTTGGCAAAGTTTATATTGAGTTTAAAAACGGTTATGCAGACGATATAAATGGACATGGCCAAACTCATTTAAACATAATGACGGAGCACAAGAGCATGCAGTTTCTCATAACTTTACTTAGTCCTTATAAACGTCAACTAATTATAACTCATTATTTGAGATTATCAAAATTGCCTCTCTCCAAGTTCAATTGATGTGAATAGCAAAAAAATGTTTCTGTTCATTCTTATGAAACACAATTTCAACCATGAATTCATCGGCGAAACTTGGCTTTGGAATTTCTTCCTCGAGCGGATTTTTATATTGCTCATTAGTCTCTTTATGTTTACGTCTTGAATATATCTATCAACGACTAGAGCTCGAATTATTGCCATCAGTCAAGAAGTGATTTAAAGCTAAACACCTATTGCATCACAAACTATGATGTTTAAACGGGAAGCTCGCATATAGTAGTTCTCAAGCACAAGATGAGTGTACCGAAACAGAAAAGATGAAGAAAACAAAGATCGCAAGATAGTACTTATTAAATCTAACATGGCGAGAGGGAATGCTTCTTTCCGGTAATAATGTAAGCTATTTTCAGGGCGATCAATGACAACGCTTGAGGCCATCGGCGGTTATTCGTTCTAAAAGATTTATTCAGTCACTTATGCTCAAACAATGTATAAGCATGCAACACTGTATCTTGAACTGGGCAATGCTCCAAGATACTTGCTTTTCAATAGTTAGCGTTCGCTTTTTATAATGGTGAAACAAGGGTTACTTGAACCGAACATTACGAATACACCAAGGTTCTCATTGCACGTTTTAATCGTCAGATAAATAGTGCCTTGAGAAAGAAATTGTAAAAAGGTGACATAGATCAAGAGAGCTTTTCACTCATGGAATGCTCTTACAGCTTTGCCTTCTATAGTTTGATAGTGAAAGAATAAAATATCACCTCAAATGTCTTCCATAGAGCCACGACGTTCGAATTCTATTCATTTTCAGCAAAATATACAGGTATCGAAACCTAATACAATCCAGGGATTTACAAATCTCTTGAATCTACAGTTTTTTAGGCACTTTCAATCCGTTCGGTAGCAGAGGTTGCATTATGGAGCTCTGACTGATCTTTTGTCTGGTCGTTAAAATTCCAAACAATAATATAATTAGACTGGACGACAATGAAGGAGGATTAAGAGATTGAAGCTCTCGAAGTAGCAGAATAAGTAATATCCTTCAATAAGTCTTGTCCGTTTTTCAACTTCGAACTTTTTTCATCGAGTGAAAAAAAAAAAGTTCCCCAGGAACACCTTCAAGATTAAAACATATCGATGGATGCTTTTGAGGCAAGATTGCAGTTTTTGCAGGTTATAAAGAATCTTCATAAGACTCTTAACGCTAGCAAGGACACCTCTCCAATTTCTAGTGGAGGACAGCAGCAGAATGACCCCGTACAGTTCTACCTTAGGCATTATGAACACCATTATGAAGATTTTCAGCAGTGCATGTTAGATTCAACACAGAAAATGGACTCCCTTGATAGACTTAACGTTGTTATTTACTGGAGCAGATTAATATCAATGCTGTGGCCTCGATGTATGAAAGATGTAAATGGAGAGCAGAATATACCCGGCAAAGTGGTATATGAGCATCTTTTAGGACAATTAAGTGATATCATGTTGTTGGTTCTACCTGAGAACGACTGGAAGTCTCTCACAAACCTCAAGGTTTGTATCGATATTTTCACTTATTTGAATAGTCTTTGCGGTGCTATAGAGGATTCCACGAAGATAAGCCATCTGACGCAAACCAGGGAGGACTTCATTTCTAAAATAGATCCTCCGCTTGCAACTCAAGTTTCTGAGCATAAGCTAGAGGTACCGTGGTACAAACCCGAAAAAAGTCACGATTGGGTTAAATCTTTTTCTACTACCCTAGATCTTCTGATAGACCGCAAGAAACTCGCATACTATTTACAAGAGTATTATCGTCAAAATGGCGCATGTGCACTAAAAAGTGGTACAAATACTAGTATTATATTGCATCGAATGGAGAACGACCGTGAAAGACACAAGAAATCCAAGGAGCATTTATGGCTCACGGAGAGGGATTATATTTTAGATACTCGAGAATTTGATTTGTTATGGCGATCTTTTGAAGGCATGACAAAGAATGACTATAACACCGTTCGAGAGGTCAATAAGATCGCTCACAGCAGTTACATGTACAATTGAGTGAATGAAAGAGCTCATGTTCTTGAGAATAATACCATGTCATACCTGCTTGTGGTTTCGCAACAAGCGTGAGATGGGTGCTGTGGGATGATGATAGATACTTAGCAATTGCCTATTTATCGCCGTGTATACTTGAATAAGCCCAATTCCTTTGGACATAATTTATTTCTAGGGCCAATGTTCAAATCTTCGAATGATATTTATGAATTTTTTAACAGCACTAGCTCACATTCAATGAACCTTCAGAATAAGCTGTTCGAACTAACAGGGGTGTATAGTGCCCTTTAAGTTTCTGATTCATCAATTTCCCGCTCTACAAAATTTGCAATAACTAAATGTAATAAATAATGTGAAAAGAGCTCAAAACATTTGAATGGGTATTTACTGACGTTCTCAATTTCAATATTTGTGCACGTTACGTTAATTGAATTGTTTATGAGATTCTTCGAAATTATTCTACAGAAAAACTTTTCTGGGCTATACCATTGCTGTATTTGGAAGTTCATCGGAAAATAGCATTTACAAACCACTCGTTCAGCAATACACACTAAAGAACAAACATTGCAAAGGGATTGGTTTTGAAGCAAAACAAGACACTCTTTTGACGTCCTTTTTTCAGCCATATTTTGATATTAATCAAGACGACGCAAATTTTCATATATTGATAGATGGGCGAGCAGCGTAGGCCAAGGTTGAGAGGAAGAAAAACAGATTCATCGGTTAGTAGAAGTCGTTCAACATCTCCTTCTCTCTTCTTTAAAAGCTCTTCTTCCTCAAATCTTCTGAGATTGAAACAAGCACGGTCTCCTCTTCGAGAGTCAAGAAGCATATCGACCACTCGTGCCACTATAGACAATGCAGTGGCCGAAACTGAAGGGAATTCTGAAGAATTTGGAAACTCAAAAGACAGCTCTAATAATCTAATGATCGACGTCCTCCCATCCTTCGAGCTCTATAATGCTCTTCACAGGCATATTCCTAGAGGAAACGTTAATGCAGATCATCATGATTTTCCCCCAACATATCAGGAGGTGCAAACTAGGAACCCTTCTCATACAAGTCTTTCAACAACCTCGATTCCAATGGATGGCACGCCGACAGATGGGTCAAGTTCATCAGAAAACCTGCGTTCATTGTCTAGGGATCCGTACTTGAATTTGGAATCTTTCAGTACCGTTCAAGAACCTATCGAGGATGATCTCAATGATACGGATAATATTTTTATTGATAAGCTGTACAGCTTACCAAAAGCAACGATGCCAATAGAAATTGATATTCATGTCACAAAACAAGTGGCTGATCCCGATCGCGCCATGGAAGAAGAATCAATTTTGAAGGAATATACATCTGGGGATATCATAAATGGCTATGTCATCATTGAGAACAAATCATCGCGCCCGTTAAAATTTGAGATGTTTTACGTCTCTCTGGAAGGTTACACAAGCGTAATCGATAAAGATTATGGTAAACGCACCGTTAAGAGATTTTTGAGAATGGTTGATATAAGTGCAAGCTGGTCTTACTCGAAAATTGACGTCTCAAGTGGCATTAACTACACCCCCGGCCGTCTTGATTACGACAATTGTTACATTGGTTTGAATAACAATCGAACGCTTGAAGTGGGAACGAAATACAAGAAGTTTTTCATGTTTAAACTTCCCACGCAGCTCTTAGATATCTCCTGCAAGCATGAACAATTTTCACATTGTCTAGTACCTCCCAGCTTTGGTATCGACAAAAACAAAAGCAATGGTAAGTACTCGGGTATTAAAGTTAATCCCATGCTTGGATATGGTCATCTTGGTACCAAGGGCTGTCCAATTTTGACAAACGACTTATCAACTGATGACGTCTCCATAAATTATACCATTGATGCAAAAATTGTAGGAAAAGACGTTAAGACGCAAAAATTGAATATAATGAGAGAAAAAGAATATAATTTGCGCTTCATTCCGTTTGGTTTTTGCCAACCGTTATTGGGAGAGCGCCCACCATTGAAGCAAATCTACAGCTTAACGAAGTTGATACAAGAAAGGATTGATTCCTTAACTAAAGTCCTCAACCGCCTCAAGAAGAACGAAAATATAACAGTTGCAGATATCAGCAATACCGACATTAGTGGATCAATTGTTAATGTGAATGAAGTTGATTCATCTGAACTACTACGATTGAAATTGAACCAACTATATATTGACAATCGATTGGACCCGGCATGCTCGTCATTTCCGTTGAAGAATGGAAAGCTTTCAAGTCACAAAAATTTGGTTGAGGCAGAATTTAGTTACAGCTTAAAAACGAAGTCCAAATCTTCAACAAAATTGAAAAAGGGAATTTTCTCTGGTTTTGCAAGCAATGGCAGTAGCACTTCATCCAGCACACAACCCAAGTCATCCTTCAAATCTGGTATCATTGTTCTTTCTGCAGAGCTACCCAAGGAGGGTTTGCCGTATATCGAACCATCCCTACTCAAGAAAACTAATGCTCTCGAAAAACAAAGCAAGCACAACCAGGATAATTGGCAAAGCATGATTGATTCGCTTACTGATGACGACCTGAATATTCTATCAAAACTGAATGTGCGATTAAGATGTATCCAAGCTGCGAACAGTGAACCGCATTCACCTCCAGAGATAAATAGTTTAACAACAGAACTAATCTGCATAACGGCAAAATCTATCAACTCCATCCCTGTCAAGTTGAACGCCGAATTATTATTAAATGAAGATAAAGTTTCAACAGTAAGATCCACTTTCCAACAATTCAGAGACCAAACAAGAGACCTTCAGAAGGAATTCGAAGAAAACTGCGCCGAATTAAATTTACTTTTCAATAGATCGGGGGGTGCGGAAACGCATCAAGAACTACGGTTCACAGACTTTTTGTCTAAGCAGCTCATTACGGACATCGAGAGCATGGCAAGTCTAAGAGTTGATATTCAGCCTTTGCAACATGTTTTCAAAAAGCAGATTCACACTTTAACTTTTGATGATGACTCGGTCTCTGCCTCAATGTCAAAGAGTAACAGTACTGGTAGCATTCTATCAGCCCCCTTTAGTGCGTCGTCATCTAACGGTAACTTGCATGGAGCTACATCTGAAAAAATGAAAGAGCAATTAACTCGAGAATGGATACAAAGTAGCGAATCAGAATACGATCGTGTGATTACGGTTAATTTGTGCTTCAATCCTAATATTAAGGAAACATTGATTCCCACATTTGAAAGCTGCCTCTTATGTCGGATGTACTGCGTCAGAGTTAATATTAAGTTCGACGGACAGGTCGGTACCGCATGTATAGATATTCCAGTGCGTATAAGGAAACTTGAAGCATGAGTGATCTTTTTTCGATCTTATATATACATACATATGGACAAAGTTAATTGGAAGTTAGTCGAAACATATTTTCTTCGGATTTTTAGAGCAACGTTAGACCTTAATACCCCAGTGAATTGAACAGACACCAAAAGTTAGACTTTCGTAACCCGCAGACTCGAAACCTGCCTTTTCAATCATACTCTTGAACTCTTCTTGGTCGGGAAACCTTTGGATAGACTCCACCAAGTATTGATAAGAATCATAATCGTTGGCGACTATCGATCCCATGACGGGAAGTACTTTCGACCATTGTTGATAAATGACGTCTACTAATGGATTGTTGACCTTTGAAAACTCTAAACAGAAGAAAATTCCACCAGGCTTGAGAACGCGATAAGCGGTGTTGAGGCCTGCTTGAATATCAGTGAAATTTCTGATACCGAACGAGATAGTATACACATCCTTGGAATCGGATTCAATCTGATCGAGGGTTTCACCATTTTGAACAAGAAAAGTAACTCTAGGGTCATTGTAATATTTTCCTTGATTCATAGCCCTTTTTTCGCCCTCTTTTAGCATATTGGCGTTAATGTCCACGATATGCATGGTAGACTCTTTATCATGAAATTTCTGCTCCGCGTGGTCCAGCAGCCCAAATGCAATGTCTCCTGACCCCCCTGCGACATCAATGAAGTGCAATGGCTCTTTCGAATTTGGTCTTTTACCAGCATCCAACTTGTTGATGAAGTGGTCTTTCCACAACCTATGAATACCCAAAGACATTACGTCGTTCATTATATCATATTTGGATGCAACGTTTGAAAAAACATGGCCAACCAACTTTTCCTTTTCGTTCTTAGGAACTGTTTTAGAGCCAAAGTGCGTAGTTTCATCATTTAGCAATCTACTCGTGTTCGATAGATGTCTTACTGTAGTTAGAGATCTTCCAAGTAGGAGGCTTCCTGATCTCATGGACCTTGCAATGTTAGCTTTACTCATTGCAATTGGCATCCTAGAGCTCCTTATTTGCAGTTACGTGCAGTTGAGAATAATCAAAGGTATTGCTCTTCAAGGAAGAACTTTTTAAACGACTATCTAGAACGGCAAAAAAATAAAGATCTTGAGGCAAAAAATTGGGGCGAGCTGGGAATTGAACCCAGGGCCTCTCGCATGCTTGTGGTGTTGTAATCCGAGTTAAAGCTCGAACTTCGCCCAAAGCGAGAATCATACCACTAGACCACACGCCCACTTATTATTTGTTGGAGGACTTTCTTCTCGAATTGAATTATGTCTATTACCATGGTCACACAAAGCAGATTATCTGCCAATAGTGCAATTCCCGAATTGTAAAGCTCCACAATCCATCTTATTCAAAGATTTTGTTTAACATCTTGCTATTTATATACAAGCTTGGAGTATTCGAACTGATACACTTCAATTTTCTCAGTTCGATCAGTGTATAGCACAGATGTTCAATTTCTATCCAGTAGCTAAGAAAGGAAGGAGAGGAAAAATGGTATTTGGCCTACCGAGGAGCTCGGGGTTAACAGCTTTTTAACCAATTCTCGAGACTACCAACTTCTTAGTAAAATCTCATTACATTTTTCCTCTAAAATTAAATTAAATTTGTGGAAAGCGAGGCTAGCCGAGTAATCAGCGCTCGTGTCTTTCTGGATTGCTGTGCACATTATACTTGTTGGAACGAAATACAACTATCGACCATCGACTAGTATTCGTGCTACTAGTATATTATCATACACGGTGTTTTAAGATGACATAAAGAATGAGAAACAGTCATCGAAATTAGTGGAAGCTGAAGCGCAAGGATTGATAATGTAATAGGATAATGAATGAAAATGTATAAAAGGAACAGAAAGAGTAAGAATAGTTGTAAGTAGAATTATTGACTCTTCTTTCTGGATTCTTAGAAAGATGAGGAGAACTTCTAGTATAACCATATACCAATAATTACAGCCTTAATAAAAATGGAATCCCAACAATTATCTCAATATTCACCCATCTCTCATGGTAGCGCCTGTGCTTCGGTTACTTCTAAAGAAGTCCACACGAATCAAGATCCATTAGACGTTTCAGCTTCCAAAATCAACGAATATGATAAGCTTTCCACTAAGGCAAATTCTCAACAAGAAACAACACCTGTGCCCACAGATGTTTCAGAGAACATTCATCATGCCTCTCCTCACACTGCTCAAGTACCATTGCCACAGAATGGCCCGTACTCACAGCAGTGCATGATGACTCAAAATCAAGCCAATCCTTCTGGTTGGCCAGCATACGGTCACCCATATACGATGCCGTACACACCTTATCAAATGTCGCCCATGTACTATCCACCTGGGCCACAACCACAGTATCCACAGTACACATCAACTACAGGAACGCCTTTGAGCGCCACACCCCCGAGCCCAGTAACACACTTACCAAGCCACCTTCAACGAAGTCAGATGTGACACCCGTCAACAAATCTGTTCGACCACCACCAATTTTAACATCATCAAATGATTTTCTAAATTGGATCAAAACTTATGTTAAATTTCTACAAAATTCAAATCTCGGTGACATTATCCCGACGACAGATGGAAGACCTACACGGCAGATAACATACGACGAACATACCTTCTTGTACAACACTTTTCAAACGTTTGCTCCATCTCATTTCCTACCTACTTGGGTCAAAGACATCTTATCTGTTGATTATACAGATATTATGAAGGTTCTTTCGAAAAGCTTTGGAAAAAATGCAATCCGACAATCAAGATGTCAATGACCTGATAACGATCACTAATCTCCGCTACAATGGCAGTACACCAGCAGGAGAGTTTGAAACAAAGATCACGAATACAATCGAGAGACTAAACAATAATGGTGTTTCTATCAATGACAAGCTCGCATGTAAATTAATTATGAGAGGTCTCTCTGGGGAATACAGATTCTTACGCTACACACGTCATCGCCACCAAAACATGACAGTCGCAGAACTGTTCCTGGACATTCATGCCATATATGAAGAACAACAGGAATCGGAACGCCGTAAGCCTACTTACCCAAGGATTCCTAAAGATGACAAGAACATTTCTCGAGTCTCTCCAAATATAAACAAAGCCAAAACTGTAACCCGAAACCCTCAAAAAGCAAGTAACTCAAAATCAAGAACGGTCAAAACTAATAACGTGTCCACGTCTCATAACTCTTTTGACAAGAACAATGATTCGATCAACGAATCACCTGATAAAACAATACACTTGAACAATCAGTATGACCTTCATCTTAGGCCAGATACATACTGAGTCCAAGGTAAACCACACGGATCATTCAAATGATGAACTTCCTGGACATCTTCTTATCGATTCAGGTGCATCACAAACCCTTATCAGATCCGCTCATCACATACACTCAGCATCGCCTAATATTGACATAAGCGCAATCGATGCTCAAAAAAGGAAATACCAATCAACGCCATTGGTAATCTCCAATTCAAATTTGAAGACAATACAAAACATCAATAACAGTACTACACACTCCGAACATAGCTCATGATCTACTCAGTTTGAGTGAGCTAGCTAAGCAAAACATCACTGCCTGTTTTACCAAAAATACCCTAGAGCGAGTTGACGGCACCGTACTTGCCCCTATCGTTCGACATGGGGACTTTTACTGGCTATCCAAAAAATACTTGATTCCCTCGAACCTATCAATGCCAATAGTTAACAATATCGGTACTGATAAAGCCTCACACAAGTATCCCTATCCTTTGATTCATCGCATGCTTGGCCACGCTAATGCTCAAACCATTCGGAACTCTCTAAAGAATAACTCAATAACATATCTAAAGGAAGCAGATGTCGATTGGTCTAAAGCTACTACATACCAATGCCCAGATTGCTTAATCGGCAAAAGTACTAAACACAGACATGTCAAGGGATCACGAGTAAAATACCAAAACTCGTATGAACCTTTCCAATATCTGCATACCGACATATTCGGTCCTGTTCATAACCTGCCAAAAAGTGCACCATCCTACTTCATAACATTTACCGACGAGAAAACAAGATTCCAATGGGTTTATCCATTACACGGTCGTCGCGAACAATCTATTCTCGAGGTATTTACCACAATACTAGCCTTCATTGAAAGACAATTCAAGGCCAGCGTCTTGGTTATACAAATGGACCGTGGTTCTGAATACACAAACAAAACTCTCCATAAATTCCTTCTTCAACAAGGCATCACTGCATGCTATACAACCACAGCAGACTCTCGAGCTCATGGTGTAGCTGAACGGTTGAACCGTACTTTACTAGACGATTGTCGCACACAGCTTCAATGCAGTGGATTACCAAATCATTTATGGTTTTCCGCAGTGGAATTCTCAACCATAGTCAGGAACTCTTTAGTTTCACCTAAAAACGAAAAATCTGCACGGCAACACGCGGGTTTAGCGGGACTTGACATCAGTACTTTACTACCATTTGGTCAACCTGTGGTAGTCAATAATCACAATCCTGATTCGAAAATACATCCCCGTGGCATTCCTGGCTACGCTCTACATCCATCCCGGAACTCTTATGGATATATTATCTATCTTCCATCTTTAAAGAAGACAGTGGACACTACTAATTACGTTATCCTGCAGGGCAAGCAATCCCGATTGGACCAATTCAATTACGACGCACTTACCTTTGATGATGACATAAGTAGATTAACTGCTTCATACAAATCGTTTATTGATTCAAATGAAATCGAACAGTCCTACGACCTTCACATGGATCCTAATCATGATTTTCAATCTGAGATAGATCATGACACTGAACTCCGGGGAGATGACAGTTCCACAGATCGGATTGCAACTGGTTCGCTATCAACTCCTACTCAACCAACGAGATTGGAATCTGTACCTACAACTAATGCTCGTGCACCCAAAGAAGTTGACCCTAATATATCTGAATCAAATATTCTTCCGTCAAAGAAGAGGCATAACATACCCAATATTCCTGATCCAGACAATGCCTGTTTGGGTGGTATGAATAGATCAGATGTATCAATCGATATCCCCGTGCACAGCTCTGTCACGCAACAGTCGAATAAATCCAATGATCACGATCAAGTGAGCGATTCAGATTCACATCGCCAAATCAATACTAATCCTAAAAACGACACAACGCCATGTTTGGGTGGTACAAACAACAAGACTATATCAGAGTTCAATGATCAGGCTACCGAGAAAAGCTTGATAAACTATCCAATTCCACTATTTGATCCCCCACAGGGAAGTGAGATACCAAAGTATAATGCTCCTATTGTTACACCAGATACCTACTCTGAACATGATATGAAGGAATATATTACAGAAGATCTTCCGATTCCCGATTTACCTCCAGAATCTCCTACCTGTTTCCCCGATGCCTTTAAAGAAATTCCACCGATCAATTCTCGTCAAACTAATTCCAGTTTGGGTGGTATGGGTAAATCTAATATCTATGCTACTATCAATAGTAAGAAAGATCATTAGAAGATAATGAAACTGAAATTGAGGTATCACGAGACACATGGAACAACAAGAACATGCGTAGTTTACAGCCCCCAAGATCAAAGAAACGTATACATCTGATCGCAGCTGTAAAAGCAGCAAAACCAATCAAACCGATACGAACAACCTTAAGATATGATGAGGCAATCACATATAATAAGAATATCGAGGAAAAGGAAAAGTACATTCAAGCATACCATAAAGAAGTAAATCAATTGCTAAAGATGAACACATGGGACACAAACAGATACTATGACAAAAATGAAATAGACACCAAAAAGGTGATAAACTCAATGTTCATCTTTAACAAAAAACGAGATGGAACACACAAAGCTAGATTTGTTGCAAGAGGCGACATTCAACATCCTGATACGTACGACTCAGGAATGCAGTCTAATACTGTACATCATTATGCATTGATGACATCTCGTGTCACTTGCATTAGACAATGACCACTACGTCACACAACTGGACATATCCTCGGCGTACTTGTACGCAGACATCAAAGAAGAATTATACATAAGACCTCCGCCACATTTAGGTATGAACAACAAGTTAATACGATTGAGAAAATCACTTTACGGCTTGAAACAAAGTGGTGCAAACTGGTATGAAACTATCAAGTCATATCTGATAGATAAATGTGATATGGAAGAAGTACGTGGATGGTCATGTGTGTTTAAAAACAGTCAAGTAACAATCTGCTTATTCGTTGATGACATGATACTATTCAGCAAAGACTTGAACTCAAACAAAAGAATTATAGAAAATCTAAAACGACAATATGACACTAAGATCATAAACCTAGGTGAAAGTGATGAAGAAATCCAATATGACATTCTTGGACTAGAAATTAAATACCAGAGGGGTAAGTACATGAAACTAGGTATGGAGAATTCACTAACTGAGAAATTACCAAACCTAAACGTACCTTTGAATCCGAAAGGTAGGAAACTTGCCGCTCCAGGGCAACCTGGTCTTACATAGACCAAGAAGAGTTAGAACTGGAAGAAGAAGATTACAAAATGAAGGTGCATGAAATGCAAAAGCTAATTGGCCTAGCATCGTACGTTGGATACAAATTCAGATTCGACCTACTGTACTACATTAACACTCTCGCACAACATATATTATTCCCGTCCAAACAAGTTTTAGACATGACATATGAATTAATACAGTTCATATGGGATACCAGAGATAAACAACTAATATGGCACAAAAACAGATCTACGAAATCAGGAAACAAATTAGTTGTAATAAGCGATGCTTCATACGGAAACCAACCGTATTACAAATCCCAGATTGGTAACATATTCTTACTCAATGGAAAAGTCATTGGAGGAAAATCAACAAAAGCATCACTAACGTGTACTTCAACCACAGAAGCAGAAATACACGCAGTCAGTGAAGCCGTTCCGTTACTAAACAATCTAAGTTATCTCGTGCAAGAACTAGATAAGAAACCAATCATCAAATGTTTACTTACTGACAGCAGATCTACAATCAGTATAGTTACATCCAAAAATAAAGAGAAATTTAGGAACAGATTCTTCGGCACTAA